CCCAAAAGCAGACTGGGCCTGGCTCCAACTGGTAGTGCTGCTCTGCCCTGTTCAGGCAGCACCTGAGCCTCCTGTGCTCCCCAACATCCCCGTCCTGTCCGTCCCTGCAGGCTGCCACATCGTGGCCCCCTCGGACATGATGGACGGGCGCATTGCAGCCATAAAGCAGGCGCTGATCTCCAACGATCTGGGCAACAAGGTGAGCCAGGGACCTGTGGCAGGAGCCACCCCCATGGGAAGCTGCAGCACAGCTGGGACAGGGCAAGTGGCAGGAGGAGCAAAGCCCTCCTTGGTGCCACGGGCATTGCCCTGTCCCGGCACACACAGGAGGGGAATGTCCTTGGCTGGAGGGGAATGCCCAGGCGTGGTGAGGTGCCAGATGTCTGGCAGGGGGAAGGTAAAGCTGTGGGAGGGAATCTTTCCTGTCCCAGCACTGGGATGTGGCCCTGAGCTCACAGCCCTCACAGCCTCGCTCTGCCCTCCAGGTCTCAGTGATGAGCTACAGCGCCAAGTTTGCTTCCTGCTTCTATGGCCCCTTCAGGTGGGTCTGTCCCCCAGCCAGGTGTGCTCAGCTGGGGCCAGGATGGCTGGGAGTGCATTCCCAGGGAGTTACTTGGGAAAGGGGCTTGCCCAGAGCCTGGGCTGTACGTGGGGCCACACTGGTCACTTTGCAGCACCCTACTCCTACTTCTCTGTGCACAAAGAGACAAATGTCCAGGAGAGGCTGGCTGGCGGCAAGGTCACTGAAGGGTGATCTTCCATCCCAACCCTTCACCTGCTCGGATGCTGGTGGCAAGGCAGGCAGTGAGGGAGCTGCCTGCAGCTTCCAGGAGCGCTTAGGAGTCACAGGAGTCAGTGTTGTCCCCCAGGGCAACTTCAGGGACAAGCCTCAGCTTAGTCAGCTGTTAGACCTTGTCCCAAGAACAGCCTGACCGTGGCAGGGTATCCCCAAGGAAGCTACCTTGGAAAAGAGCTTGACACAATTTTACCCAGACTTTGGGCTGTGGATGTTGAAACAGCTCCCAGGGCCAGCCTGGGCCTGTAGGACCTCCCAGAGCAATCCCTGGGTGCTGAACTGCGTTGGGAGTGCCCCCTTGGCCTGGCTCAGTGGCTCAGATGCTTGTCCTGGCCTGTCCTCATGTTTCTGGAGCTGTACGAGGTGGAAGGCGGGGGTTCCTCACCCCCTGCCCTCTGCCCCTCTGCAGGGACGCGGCGCTGTCCAAACCTGCCTTTGGGGACCGGCGCTGTTACCAGCTGCCCCCGGGCGCCCGCGGGCTGGCCGTGCGCGCTGTGGTGAGTGTGGGTGTGGGGTGGGACACCCTCAGTGGGGTGAGTGTGGGTGTGGGGTGGGACACCTTCAGTGGGGTGAGGGTGGGCCGTGGGGTGGGACACCCTCAGTGGGGTGAGTGTGGGCTGTGGGGTTATGCCTGTGGGGTGGGACACCTTCACACGGGGGCTGGGTGATTGCACCCCGCAGGGTTTGGAGCGAGCAAGAAGTTGGGAGGCAAATGGCCAAGGGTGTTCCTCTTCCATGAGGCAAAGAAACACGAGGCCTGGGCAGAGCTGGTCCCAGTGTGTGCCCGAGGACTGAGCACTGGGAGAGTGCAGTTGCTGTCCCCATGCTCTGCTGTGGCTTGGAGTGTCGGGTGCAGGGACACGAAGCCATCAGCTCTCCCCAGGCACCACATCCATGGCGAGGGGAGCACCGTGGCCGTGAGGGGCTCACAGCCTCCTGTGGAAAACCACCACGGCTCCAAACTCCTGGGCAAAAACAAGCTGTCCTTGTCCCCGCGCTGCCGTGGCAGGACCGGGACGTGCGGGAGGGTGCGGACATGCTGATGGTGAAGCCGGGGATGCCCTACCTGGACCTCGTGAGGGATGTGAAGGCTCGGGTGAGGCCCGGCGGGCAGGGCGGGCTGTGGGTGCGGGCTGTGGGGCTGTGGGGCTGTGTGCCGGAGCAGCGCGGGTGTGCGGGAGGGCTGTGCCCGGCGCTGACCCGCTCCCGCAGCACCCCACGCACCCGCTGGCCGTGTACCACGTCTCGGGGGAGTTCGCCATGCTGTGGCACGGGGCGCAGGCCGGCGCCTTCAGCCTGGAGGCGGCGGTGCAGGAGGCGATGACGGCCTTCAGGCGCGCAGGTGAGGCCGCGACCCCCCTGTCCCCCTCTCTATCCCCCGTGTCCCCCCGGGCTGCCTCCAGCGTCTCGTCTCTCCGCAGGGGCCGACATCATCATCACCTACTTCACACCGCAGCTGCTGCGCTGGCTGCGGGAAGCGGCGGGCCGGCACTGAGCGCGGCCATTGCAGCCGGGGCGGGTTCTCCGGGCGGGGAGGGAATTCCGGGATGGGTGGGAATTCCGGGATGGGAGGGAATTCCGGGAGGGGCGGGTTCTCCTGGAGGGGCGGCCCTTCCTGCAGCGGTGCCGGTGGGCCCTGGCGCCGCGCACCCCCAGCCCGCAGCCCCGCGCACCGGGAGCTCGGCCCGGTGAGCGCCGGGAGCGCCCCGCACCTCCGGGACCCGCGGGGACACGCGAGTCCGCACACACGTCCCAGCGGTGCTGCCGCCCCGGACACCCCGGCCGTGCCCTTGACCCCCACCCCGGGGCCAGCCCCGGTGCCAGCCCCGGTGCCCCAGCTCGCCCCGGCTGCGCACCCGCTGGGGAGTGTCGCTGCCCCGGCCTGGCAGATTTTGCCCCTGGGACTCGGAGCAGGGTTTGCGTCCCTGCCGCGTCTCCATGCTGACCCCAGAGGGGCCCTGAGACCTGCCGCAGGGACACCGACGCTCGTAGTGAGGCGGACGAAAGGCCGGGGTGCCCGCAGCCCTCTGATGTGACGGCAGCGCGGGGCTCGGCGGTGTCCCCGGGGCCATGCTCAGGCTGCGCCTGCTGACGTGGGACGTGAAGGACACGCTGCTGCGGCTGCGGCAGCCCGTGGGCCAGAGCTACGCGGCCGAGGCCCGGGCCCAGGGGCTGCAGGTGCAGCCCGAGGCGCTGGGGCGCTCCTTCCGGGAGGTGTACCGAGCCCAGAGCCGGCGCTTCCCCAACTACGGCCACGGCCAGGGGCTCAGCTCCCGCCAGTGGTGGCTGGATGTCGTCAAGCAGAGCTTCAGGCTCTCGGGCGTGCAGGACGAGGCAGCCCTGACGAAGCTGGCAGAAAAGCTCTACCGCGACTACTGCAGCCCCAGCAACTGGGAGGTGCTGCCGGGAGCCGCCGAGACCCTGAGCCGGTGCCGACAGCTCGGCTTCCGCATGGGAGTCGTGTCCAACTTCGACAGCCGGCTGGAAGCCATCCTCTCGCAGTGCAACATGCGGCACCACTTCCAGTTCGTGCTCACCTCCGAGGCCGCGGGCTTCGCCAAGCCGGACGGGAGGATCTTCCAGCAGGCGCTGCGGCTCGGCGGGGCCCGGCCCGAGCAGGCGGCTCACATCGGCGATGACTACAGCCGGGATTACCGGGCAGCCCGGGCCGCGGGCATGCACAGCTTCCTGCTGCGGCCGGCCGGGCACGGCGAGCCGCCGGAGGTGCCCCCCGAGCACGTCCTGCCCACGCTCAGCCACCTCCTGGCTCGCATCGAGAAGGAATAGCTGCGGTTCGGAGGGGTCCAGCGCTGCTGCCAAGTGCTGAACTGTCCTGACATTAAATTTCTTGCTGCCAGGTGGGCAGGGAAGAGCAGCAGGTCTGAGTTGCATATAGAGCAGGAGTTGTGTTCGTGTAATAAAACATTTCTGATGCCCAGCAGTGGAGCAGATGTGTTTCATGGCTCTAAAAACACCACAGAAGAGGGTCAGCTGTGGTGTCTTCCCCTAGAAGGGCTGGGACTGGGTCACTCCAGAGGCCCATTCTGGCAGGAAATTGAGGCAGATACTGAGGTTTATCCCTTCTCAGTCGCCCCTGGGACAGGCCCAAAAATCCCCCAGTGCACATGGTGACCCTGCCCACACAGAGCACCCAGGACACCCCCGCCCAGGCCCTGCACCCTCAGTGTACCCCACCTTTGGCACCTCACCAACATCCCCCCCACTTCACAACAGCACCTGCAGGTCTTCTGCTGTGGGCAGGAGCTGGGCAATTTCACTTAATGAACTGCCAATTAACAAACTTTACTGATTTGGGTAGTGAGAAATAAAAATGATCCTTAAAAGGTGATTTCAAACCCCTTTCTCTGGCTCAACTCCAGGCCTACACCTCTCCTCCCTGCCTGCTGCCATCAGCTCCCCATGTTTGTACCATGTCACACTCAAACCCCACTCCCTTGGGACACTCAGTTTTGGTTTCTTTCTGCTGGTCTTTCTTTGTTCCTCTGCCTGGACATGGCCACAGCCCTTAGCAGTGCCCTGTCCCAGCATGGTTCCCCCATAGGGGACAGCCCCCTGCACTGTCCCTGCTCTGCAGTGGGGTAGCTCCTCCCAAAAGAGTCTCCAGCTGTGTCCCAATTGGGGAATCATAGAATCACTGAGGTTGGAAAAGTCCTTTAGGATTGAATCCAACTGTTCCCCCAGCACTGCTTAGGCCACCATTAAACTATGTCCTCAAGTGCCACATCCACAACACCTTTCAAACCCCTCCAGAGATGGTGATTCCATCACTGCCTTGGGCACTGTGCCAGGGCCTGACTACACTTCCAGTTAAGAAATTTTCTCCATGATCCAACCTAAATCTCTCCTGGCACAACTTGAAGCCATTTCCTCTTGTCTTTCACAGTTGCCTGGGAGCAGAGCCTGACCACCCCTGGCTCCACACTCCTGTCAAGGAGTTGTAGGGCACAGTATGTACCTTTCCATGGGCCTCCTCCCTGCCACGTCTCCATACATATCTGTCACTATTTCTCCTCTTTTTTCCAGCCCACCAGGAGACTGGAAAGCTGCCTTTGGTGGGGCAGCAATCAAACAATTCACCTAGGAGCAGCTGGCCCAGCCAGGCATTCCCAGACCCCACAGCCCAGCACAGGGTGTGGGCTCCAGGACGAGAGGAAAGCTGCAGAAAACACGCGAGGAACAAGTGTAGTGTGAAGGCAGATGTTGTGTGAAGGGCCCTGGACACAGCCCACAGCCCTGCCGGGCCCCTTTCCCCCAGGCACTGCAGAGCACAGGCAGTCACACACGGCCCAGCGAGATGCTCTGGTGTGCCACGGCAAAGACAGGGTACACGGGCTCCAGGAAGGCCTGGCGGTGCGAGAAGAGGATGGCACAGGAGTCAGGGTCATAGAAGAGCAGCTCCCCCCCTGCAAAGTCCAGCAGGACCCCGATCTCTGCTGGGGCCTTGATCAGCTCCACGGGCTGGGGCTGCCCCGCGTGCAGGAACCGGAATTCTTTGTCATAGCGTGAGAACACCCAGGAGGCAGCGTTGAAGCCCAGGCGGCCTTCGTTGGCAGAGCCCTTCCTGGGCACGGAGCTGTAGCAAACCCCCAGCTTGTAGGCACAGCTCTGCTCCACGCTGACCTTCCAGGCACAGACCCCTGAGTGGAAAGGTGCAGTGGCCAAAGCGTTGGGCCAGTGGTCAAACCGCTCAGGGCAGCCCGAGTCCACCTTTGCTTTCTTGGGGCTGAAGGTCAGGGTTCTCTTGTCTTCTGACAGGCTGAGGTGGGGGCTCAGGGTTTTCTCATCAATGTGAATCTCCTGTGAGCCTGCAAGAGAAGCCATGTGATGAGCACTGACTCAGTGGCCACCACCTGAACCACCTGAGGTAGTCATGGCCATGAGAAACACAAGAGCAACCACCCTTTCCTCACACACCGCTCCTGGGGCTCCCTCTGCTCCCCAGGGTGACAGTGCTGGGGGCTTAGGCTGGGTGCCACAGCTTCTCCTCTCAGCCAGGATCAGAACAAGGCTCACCAAAGCCCAGACTTACCAGACATCTCTCCACACTAAAGGCCCAGCTCATCTTCCTCTGACCCTGGCCTGACCCCCCACAAAACAGAACACAGCAAGTTTGGTTCACCCCACTTTTGGGAGAGATCCAAACTGAGTTCCTGTCCTTTCCCACCCCCACGGTGGGTAAGCAGGACCTGGCTGCTCCTCCCCCAGCCAGGGGAGCCAAGAGCCTGGCAAGACTGGGAGGGCTGTGTGCAGAAAACCGGCAAAGCTGGAAAAACAGGACTGGACAGGGCCAGGCAAGGAAATCTCTTTCCTGCTACAAAGCCCCAGGTGTTGATCAACCCACCCTGAGGTGCTGGGAGCAATGCAGGGAGGTGGCACCAGGCTGAGCTGAGCATGGCTGTGACTGGACCTGGCTTAGCTGTGAAAGAAAAGGGTTCCCATCTGCACAAACCCAGCCAGTAGCAGCCCAGGCTGGCCAGAGGACACAGAACCCACTGTGGGTCTGCACCACTTCAAAATCGTGGAATCACAGGACTACAGGACTGTCAAGATTGGAAAAGATCTCTTAAGATCATGGTGCCCTGCCCTGGCTGCATGCTTCCCCCTGAGACCCTTCTGTGGGCCTGCAGGCTGTGGAACTGCAGGCGTGTTCCTCAGTCCCTAAATTGTGAAGCAGGGGTGAGGCTGATGCCCAGCGGACTCATCTGCTCCTGAGGGAACTGAGTTCCTGCCAGCAGGTGCCCCTCCTTGCCCTGCCTTCCCCCACCCTCACTTTTTTCATTTTAAGTCTTAAATCACCATGGAAACAGGGCTGGAGGGGTGACTCAGTGGCTCTGCCATCCCTGCCAGCAGCTCTAGCCTGTCATGCCAGCACCAGCCATTGCCCAACACCCTCTGCTCAGCATCCAGCACGATCAGCCCTTAAAGAACCAAGGGATGACCTCAACAGGGTCATCCCAGAGCCCAGCCTGCTCCAGGACCCGGGTCAGCATCCCTCCAAGAGCAAACAGCACCCAGCAGCAGCAGTGCTCCACGGCTTCCTCAGGCTGCACCTGCCCAAATGCTCCCTGGCAGATGAGCAGAGGTTGAATCAGTTCATCCCTGTTAATCCCTTTGCAAATCAGTGCCATGCACCTGTGTATGTCAGGTAGGAGTTATTGCAAGCAAGAATGAGCCCAAAGAGGAGCTGAAGCCAGCACTTCCTTCAGCAGGAGCTGTCAGCCTCATTCATCTGATGATTTATTTCCCCACACAGCAGCCAAACCTGAGCTCTCCACAGGGTTCTGGTGCTGCCCACGCTGCTGATGTGCAGGGCGGCTTTCCAGGAAGCCAAAGCTGCTCTGAATTCATAGAAAACACAGCAGCAGCAGACTTTATCTTCCTCTGGCAGAAGGAGGGCACTAAACCTCCTGCTGTGTCACACACAGCTAACCTAGGGCTGCATCCTGGTGGTCCACACGGTGAAACACCACCCCAGTGACACCCACACTGCTCTGCAGTGGAACTGCAGTTCCAGGGGAGCATCTGAGGGTGGGGAAGTGCTGACAAAATAACAGCAGTAATTCAGACCAGCAAATTTTGCCCCTCACACAAGTGATTTTTCATTATTAAATCTGGATTTTCACATATTATTCTGATTAATAATTCCACTGGGAATTCATCTCGCCCCTAAGTCTATTTCCTCTGTGTCCTGTATCCCTCAGAGTGGCCTTGGGAAATGAGGGATACTGGGACAATAAATTCCCATGGTTAACAGCTCTGGGAAGCACATTTGTGTGAGCTGAAGCACATCTGGCTGCTTTTAAAAATCCAAGTTCCCATTAACAGATCTGTCCCAAAACGGTGCCAGGGGATTTGCATCATCTCCTGGTGTAAGGAAGAAGCTGACAACCCCAAACAGAAGTGATACAAAGGCCTGGATGCCAAGTGAAGGCATCAACGGAATCACGTTTATTTTTGAGAGTGAAATAGAGGCCCTTTTGCAGCTGCTTTACAAGTATTTTAGAGGTTATGGAGTGAGCCCTCAAGGCTTGGAATTTTCTGTTTTCAAGCAAATAAACGAGAGCCACCTGCTCACCTGCCTTTGGGAGAAGGGACCACAGAGTGACACTTCACATTACTGGGCCTTAAGGCAAGATCAGACCACTGCTGTTACTATTAAATCTCTAAGGCTTGGTCCAGGATGGCCTGGGGACTGACGAGATCCACAAGGATACACCAGGCATCCTCAGCATGCAGTAATGACATGTGAAATGAAACCACACACTCAAAAAACCCAAACAGAATGAAATTCCTGTGTAATAAGTGCATCGGCACACCCACCACAAGAATCAAATGCCCTGAAGTAATTACATTTCACAAGGATACTGCTGGGAGAGGAATCCTTACAAAAATTCTGTCACAGCAAAGAAAATTAGGGAAAAGGCCTCCTGCTTGACTCCGAACATTGAAAACCTGCTTGACTGATTCTTTCAGGAAGAATTTCTTCACTGAATGGGTTTTAAATACTGGAAAGGACTGCCCATGGAGGTGGTGGAATGACCATGCCTAGAGGTGTCCAAGGCATGGCTGGACCTGGCAGTCAGTGTGACAAGGTGGTGATCACAGGTTGGACTGGATGGTCTTGGAGGTCTTTTCCAACCTGAACAATTCTGGGTTTCTGTATCACTGTCAGTGCACCACTGCAGGGGCTGGCATAGAGTCACAGAGTGATTTGGGTCAGAAGGGACCCTAAAGATCACCTAGTCCCAACCCCCTGCAGGGAACTTTCCTCAACTGCCAGCACTCACAGATTCCAAAGAGGGAAATCAATCCCAAAGAAAGAGCAACACCAGAGTTTGCAGGAGATAAACACATGGTGGTAGTGCTTGATAGGCATAGACTCTCGAGCTAATACTTAAAACCATGAGAGCAGTAAAAGCCTGAACTGCAGACTTTGGATATGGGCCTGGAAACAGGGAAAAACTGGAAACAGCTCATCAGAATCACAGCAAGATGAGCAGAAATCAGAAGTTTGTACAGCAGCCTTGGAAAAAAACACGCTATGGATTGTTCACAAGGCAAATTATGAAGGATATTGCCATCTCTGAGAAACAAAAAATGCATTTGAAATACTCTAACAACAGACTGAAACCAGAGTAAAAGCAAACATTTCACAACCAGCCATTCAAGCACATCACAGCCAGGGGAAAAATGTCATTCCCTGCTTAACTCAGCCAGCACCAACCAGGTAAACCAGTCCCAGAGCCTGTCAGTGGCCCAGCAAATGCCTCCAGTGCAGCCTCAGCTGTACAGCAGGAGCTGAGCCAGAGCACAAACACCTCTGAACCACCAGCTTGTGCACAGCCACAACCTCAGCTTGTGATCAGAACCCTGCTCCATCTACTCACTGCCCCCTGCACTGGGCAGTCTCACAGACATCCTACAGAAGAAATCACCCTCTCAAAGTCCCCAGCAGCCCAATGCTAAACATTGTGAACAGAGACTTCTGTGACAGAGATTCCCACAGCAGCATCAGCTTCACTGCTGTCACCCAGAGACTCAGGAAACAGCAAAAGAAACCACACAAAGTTAAAGCCACAGAGCTGATAGAACACACAGTCTTTTCAAACTCCAGTTCTTCCCTGAGCCACAACCTGCTTGGAGCTCCCAGTGCACCCCCTACACCTCCCACAGCTGCTGCTGCCTCCTTAAATGGGCTCCAAGAAACAAGCAGGGGCTGGAGAGCAGAGGGGCAGGACACAGCATGAAGGTGCTTCTCTGGGCACAACACGAGTGAGGGTGCAGGAATCCCTGGAGCATGAAAGATCTGAGCAAGACACTGACCTGTGAGGCAGCAGAGCACAGCACAGGCCCACAGTCGATGCAGCAGTGGACTCTGAACACAGGTCTGATTAAAGTTTAACTTCAGGGACTCCTGTGGCTCCAAGATTCCTTCCGCCACCTCCGTCCTAGCAAAGGAAAACAGGAGTTGTTTCAAACTACAATGATTTACTGTGCTGGGAGGTGTTTAAAAGATCACAGGGAGGTATGGCAGAGGTTAAAGAGGAGCTCTGGCTGCAGAGAGACCACAGCAGGGGAGTCTGGGCCATCTCTCACCCTGAGTGATACTTTCAGTTGGCTCTGCTTACAGTTCCTGGTTAAAGGGCTGCAGTGTTGTAAAACACATCCCAGCAGCCTGAGTCAACAGCTCCTCACTCAGCAGACACAGGGTAAATAAATGTGTCTGAGAGCAGCCATCAGGGTACCAGGAGAGCACAATGAACAGGCAGAGAATCAGATTTCCCTCTATTGCCAGAGCCCCACAGTCTGGGCACAGAGGTTTCACCCAGCACAGAGCCAGGGGTTTGCTGGCTCCTGTGGCCTGCAGTCTGCACAGAACTCCTGGTTGTGAAGACAGGCTGTGGCACAGGCTGCTGGGGATGTGCTGTGGCACATTCCATACTCTCCACAGGCCCTCTGGGCAGCGCAGTGCAGCCAGGGCCAGCACCCTCACAGCAGCCACAGAAATAAATAACTTAATAAAGTGAAATAGATTAAACAAAAACACAGCCACCAAGGTGCTTCCTCAGGAAGGGCAGCCCAGTGTCAATGGTGTCAGTGACAGGGCTGTTGGTGACACTGAGACCTGCACCTGGCTCTCCCTGCCCATGCAGAGCTGGGACATGCTGTGACAGCCACCCCCTACACGGGGCACAGACCACCCCACCTCCTGCCAACAGCCTGGCACAGGCCTGCTCCATCCCCCAGCAAGCCCTGTGGTTTTCTGCAGAAGGAAAAAAGAAAGCTGCAGAAGTTCTCCCATAAGCAAGGGGATGCAGGTGTGGAGCAGGAAAAGCTTGGAGCAGGGTCAGGGAAAGGACCAGGAGCAGCTGGGTACTGACCTCTCAAAGATCTCTTGTTCTGCACGCTGGGGACAAGGAGAGAAAGAGTCATCAGAGCTTAAATCCCCACAGAAGACACCCCAAACACAGCAAACCCAGGACCTGGGGTGCAGTGTTCCCCTTCCTGACCCAGAGAAGCCACCCCTCATCCCAACCCCAGCCCTGGGGAGCAGCAGGAGCATCCAATATCCATTTTCACCAGCTGCAGCACTTCCCACTTCCCAACTCAGAAAATGAGTGGGAATGGCTGAAGGCAATACATTGTGGCTGGGACACTGTCTGCTGTTCCCTCTGTGTCCCCACCCCACTAGGGCAGGCTGCAGGAACAGCCTGTGCTCCCAGCAAACAGCCCCAGGGCTTTCAGCAAAGGAGGGAGGCTGCAGAGGGACTCAGCCAAGAGTCAGGTCACCTCATGGTCAGTCCCACTTGTTTCTGGGCATGAGGCATTCTCAAGGTACAGCACAGTGATAAGAAAATGCCTGATCCCTGCTCAAATCTAAGCAGTGCACTTTGCATGCCTTCAGCTTTCCAGTGGCATGGCATGTGTTGAATCCAGATAGGCACAAGTACCAACACTGACAGCCCAAGGTGGAAAACACATGAACTCCCAATTCCCTTCCGAAAGGAGAAACTGAGGGTGTGGCTGTTCTCTGCCACAGGCAGCTGATGGGTCCTGGCCTCCAACCTCTCCTCTTTATGGTGCAGCTACAGCCCAGCATACTGAGGTGCTGGGGCAGGATAGGAACTGCCTTTCCCACCAAAGGAGCATCTGCCCTCTTCCCATGGGATTACGTCTGTTTTCCAAGCTGAACTGCTCTTCCCCTGCTCACAAATTTACACGTGGGAAGCAGAGACTGAGCATGGTGGTGGAGGCGAGGCAGAGGTCCTGCTCACACATAAAATGAGAGGAATCACTTGGGTGAACCCAGATGATTCAATAACCAGAGAAGGAACTGAGCAAGGGGAAGCACAGGCTGCTTGGCATGGTAAATATCCCTAACAGGGCTAAGGCAGACAACACAGGGGACTTTCCAGAAGAGCTGCAGGTGTTTCCAAGGGTCAGTTTTTATTAAACTAGACACTAGAAAACTGGTGGCACAACTAGCTGTTTTAAGAGCAGCTCACAATCCAGAGTCTAAGGGCAACTGCAAGCCCAGAGCTTGGAGACCTGAACCTGGGTGATTCTGGACCTCATTGCAAGCAAGATCAGATCAGGCAGAGCAGATGCCCTAGGAACCACCAGAAACCACAGCAGACTATCAGGAGCAGGTTGAGGAGATTCCCTGAGCCAGACCTGCAAAGGTCTGCAAATGGCCTTCCTGGGCAGGTAGTGGAGTCACCATCCCTGGATGTATTTAAACAAAGCCTGGATGTGGCACTCGATGTCATGGCTTAGTTGAGGTGTTTGGGCTGAGTTGGACTCGATCTTTAAGGTCTCTTCCAACCCAGTGATTCTGTGAATTCTTTATGTCCTGTCCACCTCTGCCCCCCTGCTGTCAGCACAGCAGCTGCTGGACACTGCATTTAAGTGCCATAACAAGAAGTGCAGGTCAGCTCTTGGCTGTCTGACTCACAGTACTCACCAGCAGGCCCTGGTCATCCAGGTTGGTGATCATGTCCACCAGATAGGTGCGGAGGGCACCCAGCTTGTGCAGAGCCTCTGTCCAGTGCACCTGCTGGGTGAGGATGCTCTGGTGCACCCGCTCCTCCTCGGCGTGCACCCTCTCCAGCAGCCGCTGCTCCTCGTTCTCACAGGCCTTCCCCACCAGGAGCAGCCTCTGGACCACCAGCTCCCGCGCCGCGCTGGCCGCGCTCTGCCACGGCAAGGACACAGCAGAGCATCAGCCGTGCTCCAGCCCTGAGGGGAGCCCCAGCAGCTTCTGCCCACGCTCCTAGGGCTCAGCCATTGCTGTTACGCTGTTAACTGAGCCCAGGTCACAGCACCTGCACCATACCAGTCCCAAACCTGCCCACTGCCAGCCCCGGTACCCAAGTGACAACCCGCGAGGGACCAGAGTCCTGTCCCTCAGCAAATCTCCATAGATTCTCTGTGGGTGAGAAACAGAATAGGCTGAGACAGCTGGGGGTTCTCAGTCCAAAGGAAAGACACCAGGGAGAACTTACTGCCTCTTCCAGCATAAAGAGGCTCCAGGACAGCTGGAGAGGGACTCGGGACAAGAGCCTGGAGAGACAGGACAAGAGGGATGACTTCCCACTGCCAGAGGGCGGGGTTAAATGGGATATTGGGAAGAAATTTTCCTTGCAAGGGTGGTGAGTCCCTGGCACATGGTGCCTAGAGGAGCTGTGGCTGCCCCTGGATCCCTGGAAGTGTCCAAGGCCAGGCTGGATGAAACTTGGAGCAACCTGGGATAGGGGGAGGTGTCCCTGCCTATGGTAGAGGGATGGAACTGTTCGGTCTTTAAGGTTTTTTCCAACCCAAACCAGTTTGGAATTCTATGATTCTATCACTGTCCTTTGTCCTCATCCTTAGTGACAGCAAGGAACAAATAAAATAAACCTAGGAATTCTAAGGCACTGATCTTAGTAGGATGTTAGATTGTTTTGCACCATTGTCTGTACACATTTTCTAGGCAAATGAAGCAGGAATTCCAGGCACACCCTGGCATTCCATTTCCACGCCGGGAACGGAGAGCAGGGGGCAGGCAGGGCCAGCCGCAGGGACTCACCAGGACGCCCTGATCTTTGGCAGGCAGCACCTCGTCCACGTGCCGGGCGATGGCCGCACTCTGCAGCTGGATCCGCTCGCAGCGCTCCACCAGCTTGTTCTGGGACACGGAGCAGCGGGAGATGGATGCGGGCCTGGACGGCCCCGAGCCTGGCAGCCTCCCCACACCCACACCCACACCTCCCTGCAGCACCCCACAGCCAGCCCCCATCCCACGGGGGACCCCTGAACAGCCCCACACCGCTCCAGACCTGCCAGGAGCCCCTCGCAGAGCCCCGTCCCCATCCTCGGGTGGGCCCACACCCGCCTGGGGCTCCTTTAGAGCACCCAGTTCCCGCTGGAACCACACCCTGCAGGGACAACCGCGGTCACACACACCCCCAGGAGCCCCACACAGACCCCCAAGGGCCCCACACACCCTGCAGAGACCCCACACACCCCACCAGGGCCCCACAGCCCACCGGGGCCCTACACACCCCCAGGGACCCCACAGACCCCCAGGGACCCCCCCCACACCCCACCAGGGGCCCCCCACACACCCCCAGGGACCCCACAGACCCCCACCCACATCCCCAGGGACCCCACACCCCACCGGGGGTCCTACACTCCACCAGGGACCCCACAGACCCCCCCAGGGACCCCACAGACACCCCACTGGGGGTCCCACACACCCCCAGGGACCCCACACCCCACCAGGGATCCCACACCCCACCAGGGACCCCACACACCCCACCAGGGACCCCACACACCCCACCAGGGACCCCACACACCCTACCAGGGACCCCACACACCCCACCGGGGCCCTACACACACCCCCAGCGACCCCACAGACCCCCAAGGGCCCCACACACCCTGCAGGGACCCCACACACACCCCCAGGGACCCCACAGACCCCCAGGAGCCCCACACCCCACCGGGGGTCCCACACTCCACCAGGGACCCCACACACCCCACCAGGGACCCCACACACCCCACCAGGGACCCCACAGACCCCCCAGGCACCCCACACATCCCACTAGGGACCCCGCACACCCCCAGGGGCCCCACACCCGGTCTGGGACCTCCACATCCTGCCAGAGACCCCCACGGCCCCGCAGCTGCCGAGGGGACCCACACACACGCCCTGTGGCCCCACACCCCGCCGGGACCCACACACACTCCCAGGGAGCCCCATATTCCCTCAGGGACGCCCATACCCATCCAGGAGCCCTCACAGCCCCCGGCGCACCGCAGCCCCATCCCGCCGGAACTCCCCAGACCCGCACGGCCCCTCTGCCCCCCCAGCCCGGGCTCCCCTCAGCCGGGCCGGGCCGGGCCGGGGTCGGGCGCTCACCCGCAGCCGCTCGGCCCGGGCCATGCTGTGCCCGCACCTGCCGCGGGGGCGGCGGCCCCGCCCGGCTCGGCGCTCCCGGCTCCGCCCCGGCCCCGCCGGCAGCGGCGGCGGCGGCAGCACGGGCGGGACGGGCGGGACGGCGCCGGGGCCGCTGAGGGTGAGTGCGCGGCGGGGCCGGGCCGGGCCGGGCCGGGCCGCGGGGCTGCCCCAGCGCGGGGGCGCAAACAAACCTTCCTCCACAAACCTTCCCCCGGCGTGCTCCCACTGACCCTCACAGGGACACCCCATCACTGGGACCTGAAATGCTCTCCTTGACCCTCACAGGGACACCCCTTCACCGGGACCCGGGGTGCTCCCACTGACCCTCACAGGGACACCCCCATTACCCTGCTCCCACTGACCCTCACAGGGACACCCCCATTACCGTGCTCTCCTTGACCCTCACAGGCCCATTGACCCTCACAGGGCCACCCCCATCACCGAGACCCGGGGTGCTCTCATTGACCCTCACAGGGACACCCCCATCACCGGGACCCGGGGTGCTCCCATTGACCCTCACAGGGACACCCCATCACTGGGACCTGGGTGTTCTCCTTGACCCTCACAGTGACACCCCCATCCCAAGGGACCCAGGATGCTCCCAGTTAACCCCACAGGGACACCCCCATCAGAGGGACCCAGGATGCTCCCAGTTAACCCCATAGGGCCACCCCATCACCGGGATCCAGGATGCTCTCATTGACCCTCACAGCGACACCCCCATCACAGGGACCTGGGGTGCTCCCATTGACCCTCACAGGGACACCCCCATCCCAAGGGACCTGGGATGCTCCCAGTTAACCCCACAGGGTCACTCCCATCACAGGGACCCAGGGTGATCCCATTTAACCCTCACAAGGTTACCCCCACGTATAGAGACTCAGTATGCTCCTATTTAACCCCACAGGGTCACCCCCATCCACAGAGACCTGCCAGCACCACTGTGGGGTCACACCCAGCTCCAGGAACCCGGGATGTCCCCCATTCTCCCCAAAGCCAAACGCCCTCCTCGAAGGGATGCTTATTTCCCCGTGAGGATGGGGCAGCCCTGCTGGGGTCCCTGTGCCGCTGCTGTGGTTGTTGACATTCCCTATGCCACGGTACAGGTTTCATTCACTGCAGAGCCTGGACAGGTGGAGGCAGCAGCATGGCTTATTTTTCAAAAGTAATTCAGTAAAAAAGGTGTTTGATTTCTGTCAAGCGATGCATTTGGGGGGAAGGGAGGATAAGGGCATTCTCCAGCATGAAACTCAGGCTGGTGAAGCTTGGTGTGGATCAGTTGTTGTAGGATCCCTGAGTTTTTAGAGCTTTGTGGTGGAGCAGCTGATGGATAAATGTGTGTTGGGATACAGACAGCAAAACCTTGGATTAACATCCTGCCTGAGCGCTGTTCTCATCCAGGATGCAGGAAAATCTGCTCCTTCTTGCAGTGAGGAAGAGGCAGGAGAACAGTGAGACACAGGACAAAGCTCCACTTTCCCTGCAGCCTCCCCTGGCCTTGGGCAGCTCCCTGAGAGCTGCTGTGCAGGTAGGGATGAACATTAACTAACTGCTGGTTGGAAATAGAAACCATCAGAATTAAAAACACAGAATTCCCGCCTTAGTTTTTCCTAGAGTCTTGTTTTGCAACTTCCAGAGTTCTCCCACTGTCAGAGAAAAATCATGTTCCTGAGGGACTGAAACGACTGGGGCACTCAGTCTGATTGAAAGAATAAATTGCCAAATTATCACAGCCCCTCAGCTGTGAGATTGATCATTCCTCACATCTTTGGAATATGTAAACTCATGGATAGAACAGCAGGAGATTAACTAGGTATTACTAATTGCTAATCACAAGGGCTGTCAGGGTAAAATTAGAAAGGGAATTTTGTAGAAACCTTTTGCTCAGTGCTTCAAGGATTTTTTTTTTTTTATTTTTTTTTTTTGGTGGGTAGAACCTTCAAGCAGTTTTTTGCTGGAAAAAGCAGATTGGGTTTTTTTTTCCCTTATTTTGATTGGCAAAATGCTACAGCCATGGAAGATGGGCATGCCAGCAGACTAAATCCAATTAGTGTGCCTTGAGCTAAGCAGCAGGCAGTTATTGTCTGTGACAACTCACTGTCACTGAGACTGGTTTCTGCTCTGTGAGGACGTGGGGAGAGGTGCTGCTCCTCAGCTGGATGGATCTGCAGGGTCTGGCTGTGCTGACCCCTCTGGAGAGGGACCAGCCTGGCCCCAGCCTGGCCAGTAGGTGTTTGCTGAATGCATCTGGATTATCCACATGGTCTTGCCTTGCCTGGGACTGGTATATGGACATGGAAACTCTTCCCAAAGTGTTTCTCAGGTCATGGAAAGATCACTTCAAGTATTCCAGGCTGGCTCAGTTGTGCTGGGGCTGTCTGTGCCTGTACTTGGTCCCACCCGTTGCTGTACAAGCTTCAGTCTGAAGGTGTTTGCCTTCACCAAGCCAAAAACTGGGATCTCCAGGATGTATGGAAGTCCAGACCAGATCCAGGAGTAAGAGGAGGTGTAAAGAATGACAGGCAGCAATTCCATCTCTGTTGTGGCCTCACCAAGCTTGGGCATTTTTAAGCTGAGTGTGAGGTGCCAGTGACCTCACCCTGCTGCTGGCTCTGCTGTAAGCTAAAGGTTCCATTCAGGACCTCCAGATGTCCCCTCCTCTGAGGTTTTCTCCTTAGTCTGAACGGAGTAGGATGTAGATAACACATTACCAGCACCTTATCCTGTATGTGTGACAAACAGAAACCCCTCTGGATCCCTGCTGGTGCCGTGTCCCCTCACCCACAGGTCGTGTCCCCACAGCAGGTGCCCGAGGTGCTGATGTGACACCCACCACTGGTTGCCAGGACTATGGGGAAACTGCAGAGTAAAATCAGCTTCCACACCACCAAATACAGGTAAAGCAATGCTGGGAGATCAGTCTTGTTAATAAACCAGGTGTGAGAGTGAAGAGAGCACAAATGAGCAGAAAATATGGCAAGCACAGCGGTTTAGTTTCATTACTGGATGTTTGAACCAGATTTTCATTTCTAATCATCACTTATAAAGCCTGCTCAGCTTTTTGGGGGGACTGAAATCCCAAGTGTCACTCACAGGAATGGTCAAGCACATAACCATGGCCAGTGGTTGTGCTCTGTGATGGCTGAGGCAGAGCTCTGAGGGGGAACAGCTTCAGGAGTGGCTCTTCAGCCCAAATACCCAAACTGCTTTGTTGTGTCCTCAGAGCCTGTCACCAGGATGAGATAATTCAGTCCCTGGCAGCAGGGAGAGGGATCTGTGCCTGGAGGGCAGCACAGGGTGGCAGCTGGGGGCCAGGGAGGTGTCGCCAGAGCCTGATGCATGTGAGTGTGGAGGCTGGTGAGGTCAAAATCTGTTTTCTTCTTTGTGCCAGCACAGAGTGAGCGACAATTAAATATTCAGCAGCTCTGGAGCTGGGATAGGTCTGCTCCATCTCACTCACAGCCTCTCTCTGGCTTCCCAAGACAGAAGTCATGTCAGAAGATGCTGGAGGTGGCAGGGAATGGCCCCTGACCTCTCCCCCCAGCCCTGCAGCTCCCACTGCTGTCCCTGTTCCTCTGCAGGGCTGATGGCACCGTGGGACAGACGGGACCTGCCAGTGCCTCCCAGAAGCACAGCCCTGCTCACACCGACGCTGTCACCTCTGTGGCTGCTCTCCAGCCAGACCTGTGTGTGTCAGGAGGAAGGGATAAGGTAGGTATCCCCTGGGACAGGAAAATACATCAACAGCTCCAAAAGTAAGGTTGAAATGTGAACTTTGAACATTCCTGTGGAGGGTAGCTATGCCGGTCCCTGGATTTAGAAAGGAAAAATGAGCTTAGGGTGAGGGCACGCCCTGAAGCACATGGAATCAGATTTTGCAACCTCTCCAGAGCTCGTATCATATCAAATGCTCCCACCCAGGCTTGGGATCGCCAGACTGACTCTTACATCACCTGTCTTTAAGGACAGTTGTGCATGCTCTAGGAGCTGAAAAGCAGAGGAACCTGTTCCCTGTCCTGTGGACTGTGCACAATATTGGTATGACATATCCTCCCTGCCCTGCTCTCATGCTGACCCCTGTCCCTGTCCCTGTCCCTGTCCCTGCAGAGTGTGGCTGTGTCCAGCTGGAGGTCGGGGGCTGCCCTGCGCCGCTTCACTGGCCACGAGCGCGAGGTCACCAAGGTGAGAGCTGGGGAGCCAGGGAGGATGGAGCACTGGTTTGTCATCCACAAGAAAGATGGGATCAGGGTATTCCTGGTATCCAGCTGGGGACGTTGGGCTTGTTGACCTTAAAGGTCCTTTCCAAACTTAACGATTCATGATTCTGTGATCAGAACACATTAGGTTTTTCCCAAGGTCCCAACAGGTACTTTTGGAGGCAGCATGGAGTGTTGCATTCAGACTAAATAGGGCTGCAGGAGGTCTAGATGTGAGCTTGTCTTTCCCTCCAAGAGACTGTATAGCAAAAGCTCAGGATGAATTATGAGGTTAAGCTTTTGATGCAGAGATGCCATTCACTTTTCTTCAGGCTTCATTCTGCTAGACTTGACATTATTCCATAAATCAGCCATGCCTGGCTGATATATTCTGGGAATACCCATGCCACGTGACATAGCTGGCATATTCTGGGAATAGCAGGGCTTTAATGTCCTTTCTGGGATTGGGATGACAAAGCCAAGCAGGCTTCTGGGAGAGCAGACGTGCAGAGGGGCTGTAGCTGTGCGTGGTGTGGCCAGCACACCTCCGCAGGGGACAGCCCCAGTGGGTCCCCTGGGCTGTGGGTACTGCAAAGACAAAGGGGGCTTTATTCATTTCAGTGCTCAAAACAACTGTGCACTGGGCTCATTTGGGTTTGTGAGGACGCTTTTCCTATAAAAGGAATGGTTTCTAAGAACAAGACCTGAGAGCACCCATCCACCATCCCTGGCTCTCAGGGGACAAGGAACAGAGTTGAGAGGCCAGGCTCTCCCCAGTCATGTTCCTGCATGTGCTGGGCTGTGGCAGGACAGCAGCAGAGTTGTGCTCTCCCTTGTGGGAATCCAGGGCTTCCCTCTGGCTGCCCTGACAGGTCTGGGACCCTGGCAGGGGTCAGGTACCCCCCTGGACAGAGCCCCCAGAGACACTGTCTGTGATCTCTGTCCATGGAGAGGAGTTTTCAATCTTACAGGATGAATTACAAGCTCTGAGTGTTTGATAGAAGTAATAATTAAGTGTGGCACGGGTGCAAAAGTAAAATTTTAGGATTCTAGATGAGGGGTCCAAAGGGGACAAGATGGAGGAAATTGGGTGTGTCTTGTCCTTTTTCTCCTTCTTCATGCCCTCCATGTTTCACTGTGGTGTTGGCATTTTTCTGTTGGTTCAGGCTGGGGACACACTGTCCAACGTAGGTGACAGATATTGGCACGTTATTGTAAATCCAGCACAGGTAGTTTGTGGTATTTAATGTTTGTACCATCCCACTGAGGGCAGAGCCCCACACGCTGCCCTGCAGGACAGAGCTGCGGCAGGGCAGCAGAACATGTTAGAGATAAACAGAATAAACAGCCTTGAAACCAGCACAGACCAATTATGGCTTCTGCTTTGGCAGCGGGGCTGACAGACAGAGACTTTCTACAATCTCGGAATCAATACCTGCAGATTCCAACACTCCCTGTGAACTGGGTGGGAGGATGAGCAGCTTCTCCTTCTGGTCCTTGGCAGGTCACCTCAGCCCTTGACTCCAACAGAGTCTTCAGCGCATCCCGGGACAAGACAGTGATGATGTGGGAGCTTCACGGGACTTCAGGGCCAAGCCAGCAGTTCCCAGGACATGACCTGGTTGTTACTGGACTGGCTGTGAGCCCAGGTGAGGGATGACAAGCTCCCAGTCCCCAGGGACTGGCTGACAGTGTTTCCTGCCTTGTTTTGATGCTAACTTGTGGTTGCAGACGCCTCCCAGCTGTGCACGGGCTCCCGGGACAACACCGTGTGCAAGTGGGACACCGAGACCGGGGAGTGTCTGGGCAGAGCTGCAATCTCCAGGAATCTGGTAGGATCTGCTGGTTCCTCAAATCCCATCCCATCATCCACCTCCCTGCCTACATGGTTATTTCACATGTGAAGCTGTGCAGAGCGAATTTTCTGGGAGCTTAGTGCCAAAGGGAGCCTTTGGGACACTGTGCACCTGGGCAGGCTCAGCTTGAGGCTGGTTATTCTTCTCCAGGTAACAACAAACCCAGGAGCACAAAGGTACCAAAGGACTCCTGGCAATTTATCAATGCTCCAACTCAGAGTCATGGAATCACTGAGGTTGGAAAAGACCTCTAAGTCAGAGTCCAGCCATTCTCCCAACACTGCCACATGTCACTCATGTCCCCAGGTGCCACATCTACATGGCTTTTAAATCCCTCCAGGGATGGTGACTCCACCACTGCCCTGGGCAGCCTCTGCCTGGGCCTGACCAGCCTTTCAGCAAAGAAATTTTCCCCAGTATCCAACCTAAACCTCCCTTGGCACAACTTGAGGCAATTTATTTTCATTGCCTGTTCCCTGTGAGCAGAACCTGACCCCCACCAGGCTGCACCCTCCTGTCAGGGAGTTGTGGAGAGCTGGAAGATCCCCCTGAGTCTCCTTTTCTCCTGGGTAAACAAGCCCTGTGCAGTGGGGCTGAATTCCCTCCTGTACCTCCCCCTGCTGCTGTCCCTGCTCCCATGGCTCTGTGTCCTGCTGCTGGCACCTCCCAGCCTCAGTCACCCCCAGCAACCCCTCTGGCACTGGACCTGGCAGGGGAGCAGAAAAATTCTTCATCCAACATTTCCAGCTCCCAACTCAGGAGTGGGAGGGGGAGGATGGGAGTTCAGTGGTTCCATCCTCAGACAGACACAGCCTAGGCTGCACACAGAGGTGGCTTCTGCTCATCCTTCCCTTTCAACAGGTCACACACCTGTGCTGGGTTCCTGGGGAGCCTTATGTCATCCAAACCTCAGAGGATAAAACCACCAGGTAAATTCTCCCTGTGGACAGAGAGCAGGGAGGTACAGCCTGAAGCACGTGGGGCTGTCGTGGGGTTGGTTGTCATGAGCCCTGCTGGTGTGGCTAAAAGCCACCTGCCAGCTCACCTGGGCCTTGGGGTGTGACCTCCAGCCAGGGACGGGCTGGGAGCAGCACTGGGCGGTGACTGCGAGTGAAAAGGAGAATTTGTGAGACAGAAAGCTGGAGAGTGATCCAGCATGGATAAAAGCAGGGATGCAGGGAGAGTTTGGGAGCAGCCAGGGCAGAGCTGTGGGCACAGAGGGAAACCATCGTGGTGCTGATGCCTCAGGGCCCCCTGCCCTCTGCTGTTCCCTGCAGGGTGTGGGACAGCCGGGAGCTACAGGTGGCCCACACGTTCCCTGCCAAGCAGCACATCCAGACGTGCTGTGACGTGAGCCAGGACGGGCGGTACTGCCTCAGCAGCAGCAGCGGCTGCGCCGGCCACGGCGCCGAGGCCACGGTGAGTGCCGGGCAGCGAGGCCTGGCTCCTGCTCCCTCCCCTGCCACGTGCACTGCAGACAGACAGAGCAGTCCATCCCTGCTCCAGGGTCTGAGTGCTCCCACTGCCTCGCCCTTGGCCTGGTGTCTTCCTGCCTTTCCCTTTGGGAAGTTTTGCTCGGGGAATATCAGCAGTTATTCTTCCTGAATAAATCACTGGGATTTGCTCCATCCCTACAAGTGTCCAAGGCCAGGTTGGATGGGGCTCAAAGCACCCTGATCTAGTGAGTGGCATCTGTGCCCATGGCAGGGAGTTGAAACAAGGTGGTCTTTAAGGTTCCTTGTACCCCAAACCAGTCTGGAATTTCATTTCAGTAAAACACAGAGGGAGAAAACAATGGATGCCATTGAAGAACACAAGGTTCTTGCAGAAAGCCTGTAGGGGATCCCTTGCTCCAAGTATTTCCAAACCAGGGATTCAGTCCTGCAGGTTTGCAGCCCGGTGTGTGAGGATCAAGAGGATGAACCTGTCCCATCCCAGGGTGGGCAGGGCTGAGGATGGGAGCAGGCTGGACATGTCTTATCTTGTTTGCCCTAATGGGTGTGGCCATGTGCTCAGTCACCAGTGCTGAAAATCCTTTGAGCTTTGATGTTCTCCAGGGCTGTGAGCATGAGCAGGGACAAGGGCAGTAGCCATGGCACTCTGGGGATTTTTGAGGAGCTCTTTTATCCCAACCCATCTTCCTGTCTCGGTAAAATATCTCTGTGCTGGCAGAGCTGGGGCTCTACCACTGCCTGTTTCCTGCAGCTCTGGGACCTGAGGCAGACCAGGGGCCGAGTGTGTGAGTACAAAGGGCATTTCCAGACCACCACCGCGTGTGTCTTCCTGCCTCGGGGCCCCACACTCGCCCCCAGCATTGCCACATCCTCCAGCGACAGCACGGTGAAGGTCTGGGACCAGGACACTGCAGGTAGGGGAGGCTCCTGCCCACGCCACGTTCCTTTATCCTGGGTACAAACCCAGTTCCCTCAGTTCTGTCTCCTCGTGGTGATGGGCAGGGTGACTGCTGCAATCTCTGGAGTTTGCTCCAAGCCAGCTGCAGGGCAGGAAATGGCCCAGAGCAAGCACAGAGCTCAACAAACACATCGGAGATGACAGGGATCTTCCCTCAGCTAAAAGGAACAATTACCAGGCAGCTTTTAAAGATACATCCAAGTTAAGCTATGAAAGGACAAATGATAAAAAGAAAAAAGAACAGGGGAACTCCAGAGATTTCTGCGGGTACAACAAGTAGACAGTTGTAAGGAATAGAATTTGTACTGGAGGGCAGAGGGATGGTCAGCCAACACCTTATTCTGGTTGTCCTCTTGAAGGGGAATCGTGGGCATTTTGGGGTTAAACCTGGTGGTGAGGGCGAGTCCCTCCCTGAGTTGGACACAAAGGGGTTTGTTTGCCTGCCAAGCCCTGCCATGGCAGCAGGATCTTAGTAACCCTTGTGCTGCAGGCAGAGACCTCCTGGGAGCTGTTCAGGTTCACAGCATTAGACACTCCCCAGGGCTAAGCCCCTCTCCAAGGGAACTTATTTAAGATGGGATGAAAACAGAAACCTGGGGCTCTCCTGCAGAGAAGGACCTTCTGTTCTCTTACCTGTTCCTTTGCCTGCTGCCTGTGCACGCAGGGTGGCTGTGGGGCTGGCAGCAGCTTTGATCCTCCTGCCTTCCCAGCTGGGTGAGCCATGATCCAGCTGCTCTGGGAAGGGGCAGGTCACCAGGAGAGGCAGCTGCCTGTGGGTCCAGGCCAAGTGCAGCTCTGTTTGCAGCTCAGCCTGAGGTTGGGGTCTCTGCACAAATTGTTTCAGGGAGTTTAATAACAGACACAAACAGACAGGCTCATGTGGCACTGGATATTGTAAATCTTATTTCTCTTTCCCGTTTGGAGATTCATCAAAACCGTGTGGTGAGTGTAGCACAGCCCTTAGGAAAGCTGTAAGAAATTTGGGAGAAAAAGGTAGGTTGGAAATGGCTCCAGGCTCACCCTGCAGCTCTGCCCAGTGGGGGCTCTGGGTCCATCCAGCTCTGCTTCCTCTGGGAAGGGGCAGAGCCTGACCCCAGTCTGGATCCCTCAGCCACGGCCTGACTGGGCAATGCACGGGGGTGAATCTCTCTAGCAGGGGCATATCCCAAGGTGTTGGATGGGTGAATCCAGGCAGCAGAGCTGGGAGATTGGTGTGGCCCTGCAAACCCTGCATCCCTCCCTTGTCCCTTCCCTTGCAGCCTGCCTGGCCACGCTGTGCCTCGAGGGCTCGGGCTCGCTGGCCTCGCTGGCCGCCTGCGACAGCTCCACGCTGCTCTGCGCCAGCTCCAACTCCGGCATCCACGTGCTGCGGGTGAGAGGGGGCACAGAGCTGGTCCTGGAGGAGGTGGCGGCGTTCTGAGCACTGGAACCCCTGTCAGACACTGTCCCTGGAGGAGGTGGCAACGTTCTGAGCACCAGAACCCCTGTCAGACACTGTCCCTGGAGGTGGTGGCAGCGTTCTGAGCACCGAACTCCTGTCACAGATTGTCCCAGGGAGGGGACACGACCCCCAAGAGCTGCCCTGACGGGCAGCAGGGACTCTGTGCCTGTGGGATATGGCAGCAGGGCTGGGGGACGCGCTGGTTGGTTTGTGGGTGACAGGGAGGCATCAGAGCTGTGCAGGAGAAAAACTAAACCCTGGGAGCTCCTCACTGAGCATCCTGTATTTTCCTTACGAAGCCTCCCTGCAGCCAGAGGCACGGGAAGAGCAGAGGGAGGAGATGAGACATCAGGACCAAGGGACAGATACTTGAGCACCAGGCTGGGCACACACAGCAGAACCTGGGCCTGGACCAGAGGAGACTGCAATGAAATAATTCTGTGGTCGTTGCTGGCCTCTCATTCCATCGGATTTTCCCTGGAAGGAACTGTGCTCATGTTCCCAAGGAAGAGACAGCTGCTCTCCAGCTGACAACAGCGAGGTGAATCTGTCTTCTCTTTACTTCTGAAGGTTTTCATCCAATCACAGGATTCCTGAGCTGGAGGGACCCACCAGGATCACCCAGCCCAGCCCTGTCCCTGCCCAGACCCCCCAAAATCCCACCCTGGGCATCCCTGGCAGCGCTGGCCAAAGGCTCCTGGAGCTCTGGCAGCCTCGGGGCCGTGCCCATTCCCTGGGCAGCCTGGGCAGTGCCAGCACCTCTGGGGGAAGAACCTTTCCTGCTCTCCAGCCTGAGCTGCCCTGGCCCAGCTCCAGCCGTTCCTGGCTCCTGTCCCTGTCCCAGATCAGGGATCAGAGGTGCCCCTTGGGAGGAGCTGCAGACCCTGAGAAATCTCCCCTCAGCCTCCCCTGATCCAGGCTGAACAAACCAAATGACCTCACCCCTCCTCAGCTGTTTTTTACACCAGCAGAAATCAAACTGTGCAGTGAAATTCCTGTAATTGCTCCATTCCTTGTGAGACCCTGAGCCCAGGATACGCATTCAAAACCTGTTTAGATTTTCCAGGGCACATTATTTGCAAAACCTCAATTTAAACAACAAACAAGTACAAAAGCTCTCCCCAGGGCAGGGCAGAACAAGACAATCCTACACTGAGTGAATTCACACAGCAAACCCTAAACAGGAGATGCTGACATGGATTTACAACACCCAGTCCATGGGACAACTCATGGAGTGGGACACAAGGTGGTACCTGGAAAAGAAGAGATTCCCTGCCCTTGGACATCTACTGTAAGTGAATCCAGGGGGATGCAGATCTCCATGCAGAGACACCCATGTGGAGGCAGGGGAAAGGGCACCACGAGCCTCTCCCTCTCAGCTCTCTCTCTCTAAAGGCAAATCAAGTTTGAAATTGCACTCCTACCAAAAAGGAAGGTGAGCAGGGCAGTAACAGAAGTTGAACCACACACCAAACATGAGATGCTCTGTGCTTACTACAAATGTTTGGAGGACACCTGGGAGCTGAACTTGGAAGGGAGGGTAGAAGTACATGGATCAAAATTACAGCAGAAAGTGGTACCTGCAGCATAAGAACAGTCCAAAATGTGGGAAAACCCCCAAAACTTGACAACAACCAAGCCTGGGCCAACAGTGGTGCTTCAAACACACCCAACCTCCAGAGCAGCCATGACTGCAGCTGCTGTAACACACTGGATTCCTGTTTTTTTTTCTTTAATATAAAAAAGCAACCAAAAGTCATCAATGTCCCCATCCCAGTCCATAACTGGCCCCTCTGAGCTACTCGGCTGTCCAGAGCTTGAAAGTTCTGTCGTAGGAGCAGGTGGCAATGAGCTGCCCATCCAGGGAGATGTCCAGGCCCATCACCTTCCCCTCGTGCCCCGCCAGTGTCTTCAGCGGGGACCAGCCAGGGTGGGTCCAGATCTTGGCCGTGTTGTCGTAGGCGCCCGTGAGCAGGAAATTCCCGTGGTTGGCTGCACGGGAGGAGAGAAGGGGAGAAGTGAGGCTTGCAAATGAAAATGTGGCATCCCTGCTCAGCAGCACAGGCCTTGCTGAGCTGCAGGTGTGGGTGTGAGCTGCTTGGGGCAGGGACAGGGAGCAGCAGGGACTCACGTTCAAACCTGACGCCGGTGACCAGGTTCTGGTGGGCAGGGATGGTGTAGATGCACTTCCTCTGCCGCAGGTCCCACACCTTGCAGGTGTTGTCCCCACTGCCCGTGGCCACGTGGTACCTGCCAAGGAGAGGAGGCAGAGCAGTGTTTAGGGAGTGGAGTTTACATTCACAGCTCCCACAGCAGTGCCAGCTCCCTCCTTACCCGTTTGGGGAGAAGTTGATCCCGTAGATCTCCTTCAGGTGCCCTTCCAGGAACATAATACAGCGGCCCGTGCGCAGGTCCCACACGCGGCCAAAGGCATCCAGGCCCCTGCAAGCACAGGGTCACACTGGGCTGGGCTGGGAGGGACCTTACAGATCATCCTGGCCATGGCAGGGACACCTCCCACTGTCCCAGGCTGCTCCCAGCCCTGTCCAACCCGGCCTTGGGCACTGCCAGGGATCCAGGGGCAGCCACAGCTGCTCTGGGCACCTGTGCCAGGGCCTGCCCACCCTCACAGGGAACAATTCCTAATTCCCAATATCCCATCCATCCCTGCCCTCTGGCAGTGGGAAGCCATTCCCCCAGCAGAAACCCCTTGTCACAGCAAGGCCTTCACACAGAGGCAGGGGCAGCTCACCCGGTGCCGGCGAGGGAGCCGTCGGTGTGGAAGGCGATGTCGTAGACCCCCTTGCTGTGCCCCTCCTGGTGCAGGATCTCCTCCTGCGCCTCCAGGTCCCACAGGCGCCACGAGTGATCGTAGCTGCAAGAACACAGCACTCCTTAAATCACAGTCACAGCACTCCTTAAATCACAGACACAGCACTCCTTAAATCAGTCACAGCACTCCTTAAATCACAGTCACTCAGGTTGGAAAAGCCCTCCAGGACCATCAAGTCCAAGTGTTAACCCAGCACCACCACGTTCACCACTAACCCATGTCTCCAGATGCCACATCTTGGTGTTTTTTGAACACTTCCAGCATGGTGACTCCACCCCAGGCAGTCTCTTCCAGTGCCTGGCTACCCTTTCTGTGAAGATGTTTCTCCCCAATATCCAACCTAAACCTCCCCTGGTGTAACTTGAGGCTGTTTCCCCTGGTCTCCATGTAACTCCAGGGAGAATAACAGGATTTCACCAACTCTGGGAGCATTTTATTCCCACCTGAGACCAGCAGTGTCTCACACACGGGAGGGAAAGGAATCCCAATGGCCAGCTGTGGTCACCAATGGCCAGGCCTGCCCTGTGGACAAGCCTGGCACCACAGGGCCAGCAGCTGGGCAGCCCATGGTCATTCCTGGAAGCCAATTCCCAGGTGTCCGTACCAGGTGGTGCCCAGGAACCTCCCTGAGGGGTGCCACATCACACGGGCCACTCGCATGCTGTGTCCCTCGATGTCTGCCACCGGCTCATCACTGAAACACAGAACAAACCATTGGCCACTGGCCACACGGGCCTGGCTCAAGCCAGGCCTTTGCCCACACACTGTGATGGCAGCAAAAGCTCTGCTGGTGAAATCAAACCAGCCAGGAAGATCAGAGCTGAAGCCAGTGATTCTGAATCCTGCCTTTGGGTCACACAAAGCTCTGAGTGAAGCCCTTTCTCCACAACTCCTGTTGTTTGTAAAGCTCTCCTGGGATGATGATGATTATTAATGATAATTAACAAGGCCCTTGTCATTAGCACTTTTGGAAGTACAGAAATAAACTACAAACTACCTGAACTGCAGGGAGTTCTGAGAACACAACAACTCCTGATCTGCAGGATGCAGGCAGACAGGATGGAGGGAATATTTGTTCTCCCAGAATGACAGGCAGCAGGTCAGGAGCATTCACACGTAATCTGAACAGCACTGGACTTTCTTTCCAACAGGTTAATTAAGAGACATGGTCACAAGAGCCATGTGACCATGTGGGCAACAGCCCCCCTGTCCCTTTGCACAGGGGCACTTTTGCTGTTAGACACTGTGACTTTCAGCTAAGGATAAACAACTGTGGCTCTGGGAGCTGCCTGCCCTTCCCAGGAGCCCTGCAGGCCCCACTTCTCAATCAGGTGATGCTGAGGCTCACTGCCTCAACCATTCTCCTCTTCCCAGGCCTGAGAGAGGTGCTGCCCATCTGCCAGAGCTCCTCTGTGCAGTGGCAGCCACTTGTTTGCAGGACAGGCAGAACTTTTTGTGCCTAGTTGTGTATTTGTTCAATCCCTCTCCAAATCCTAGTGCTTTCCAGCCACTCAAAAATTCATTTATTAATATCCAAGAGGGGCAATTTTCTCCTAAGTGAGCTGTAAAAATGAACAGTCCCCAGACCTTCCATCCATCACCCCCAGCAATTCACCAATGCCCAGGAGCAGTTCTGCCTCAATCCCTTTCAGACAATCTCCCTCACCTTGGCTCCCTAATCAGGGTGATCTCTCTTTCTGCTGAAGAGGGTGGCACATACTGAGGCCAGGGAGGGCACTGGGGTAACTACAAGAAAAGGTCATATTGGCAGGAGGATGGTGAATGTCTGGAGGAACATGGAATGAACCCCAGCACAGCAATGCTGCAGCTGTGCACATCTGGAGCAGTTCTGACCTTTCCAGGTTCCAGAGTTTGACAGAGCCATCAGCTGCACACGAGGCCAGGCTCACATCCTTCTTGTCCAGGGACACCGTGGCCTTGGGGTGGAACACGATTGCCCCCACGTTGGTGCTGTGTCCTGAAAGGCAAGGAGAACAAGATTCAGAATGTGCCACAGTTCTTCAGAACAGCATTTCCTTGGCACTGGTGAGGGAGGTGAGCACTTCCACCATGTCCTCAGTGCTGGGTGACACTGCCCTGTCACCCCCAGCCAAACTGCACTTCAGGAGCACCCAAGGAGAGCACCCAGAATGAAGGTGTGGAAGTCTCACAGTGCAGACAAAATTCAACATATGAATCAAAGGATTTGTCCTCACATCTGTATTTAGGCCAAGTTGTGACCACTACTCAAAGAACCTCACTGTTGTCAAGTGACCTGCCCAAAACTGCTGCTGTTTGTAACTCAACTAACTCAAACCAGGTTTGGAAACCAAACCAAACTGTTCAGAAACAGAAACAGCAAACTTGGGGCTGAGGTTTGAGCTGAAGGCCAGGTCTACCTTCTCACTTTGACACGTTCCCATGCTCCCAAGCCAAGGGATGCTCACAGTAAGACAGAAATCTGCCCAAAGTCAACATTTTAAACCACAGAATAATTCAGATGTGGGAGCTCAGCACAGAGAGGAACAAAAGAACCAAAAGCCCCAGTGAGAGCCCCTTGCTACCTCGTAAGGTGTGAACCAGGTTGCAGTCAGGCACAGACCAGAGCTTGCACAGCCCACTCCTGCGGAAAACAAGGAATGGATGTCAGTGGAGAAGAACATCAAGGGACAGATGGATGTTCCTTGTTCAACCAGCTCAGATCAATGAATCTCTGCTCAGCTATAAATGAGGTGATGAGAGCTCAGAGCAGCCTCTCACGATTCCCAAAAGCATTCCTGTGCTCTCCCAGCCCCCAGAGCAGTGCTGCCAGGGCAGGCTCACCAGCAGGCTGTGGCCAGCAGTTTGGAGTTGGGGCTGAAGTGGCAGTAGGACAGCGGGCGATCGTCCCCAATCTGACTGCAGAAGTTATTCAAGGACTGTGAGAAATACAAAGAAAACCATCAATAAATGACTGAAGTACAACCAGCCCAGAGCTATCCCCAGCCAAAGCTTGAGGTGAGGGAGGCAGATGTGACAGGAGGACGCAGAGGCCCTTGGAAAGTCACTTTCAAAGGGAGATGGTGCCTCAGAGCCACTCCAGCTCCAGGCAGGAGGGCCAGGGCCAGCCTGGCCCAGCACGACCTGGGGGCACAGCTCAGCCCCCCAGGGCCACCCATGGCACGTGTCCCCCCCTGCCCCAGGGTTCTGCAGCTGCAGCTCTGGCACAGAACTGGCTGGAGTTTGGCATCTGTCCACAACTCGGCCAAAGAATCCAACCAGACAGACGGGGCAGAGGGGAGAAGTAAATCCTCTGGAGTAAACAGGATTAGGGGGGCAGCACACGCTGTGTCTGAGCCTCTCTGTTTGGTTAAGCTGGGAATCTGGCTTAGCCTGCTCAGAAAAGGCATCTCAGAGTCATCCCAACCATGTTCAGCACCCAGAGCTTTTCCCTTGCATTCCCTGGCTCCCCAGCCAGAGCCAGGAATACATTCCTTGAGCCTCACAGGTGAGACAGGGATGTCTCTGCACCCTCTGCCACGCACAGAGACAAATTACATCTCCCTGGAGCACTCTGAAGGAGTCAGAGACACGGGGAAGGAGAGGAAAAGCAGAACTTCCCAAGATTGCAGAGACTGCTGTGCATGTGGACAGCCCCTCAGGCAGTGAATTCCTGCTGGGCTCTTTGGGGGATCAGCCAAACCTTGTGAGCACAGCAGTGGAGCAGCTGCCAAACCTACCCGCAGGGATTTGTGCAGCTCCTGCCTCTGGGATGTCCTGGTGGCCTCGGGAACCTCCTTGAGCAGCCGGGCCTCCTCCAGCCGCTTCGCTGCCCTGGGGAGAGCAGAGGTGGGGTGACAACCCCCAGAACTGCCCCTTCCCTGCTGCTGGAAGTGCCTTTTCCCTGCTCTTCTCTGGATCAGTCCCTGAGAGCTCAGGCTCTGGGCTCACTGGACCTCCCTCCCTACTCCCTGTGCTGCCCACAGTGGGATCTGCACTCGGATCTGACAATGTTTTCTGTTTTCTCTCACCTGGGGAGTGAGTAGTTGGCCAGCCACAGCCTGGCTGTTTTCAGACTGCGAGGGCCCTCGTGGTACCAGGTTTGCTGATACTGTAAAAACAGAAATAAAAGTAATGGAAAAGCCCTGGTGCTGCTGCCCCTGCATTCATTCCCCTCAGCTCCTCCCAGCAAACCCCTGCCCCCAAACCCTGCTGTGCTCTGGCCTCTTTTTAAGGGCCTTCCACACAATTGAGCCCCAGGAAAAGGGATTTGGAGAGATAAATCAAACTCGCTGCCCTACAGATCCAGTCCTGCCATGCTGCCATTTCTCTCAATGTTCCAGCTGAACCTGAACCCCTGAACTCATCTGCATTTACTGACACGTAACTCCCTCCTTGTTTACACATCACCCACTAAAGACAAAGCCCAGACCTGCAGAAATTATTTCTTACAGTAAAGCTCAAAAATAATAAGGTAAAAGAGACTCAGAAGAGAGACAGAAGCAGAAAGAGCAATCAAAGCCAGAAATAGATGCAGCAGAAGGAACTTTTTTCTTTTCTTCCCAAGTGTGAAGGAAAGTAAGGGACTTGCTACAGTAGGTAAGGGCCCACACTGCTCTCCTGGTTTGCACAGTGAGTGCAGCACAGAGCAGAGTCTGTGAGTAAAAACCACACTTGGTGCTCCTCACTGAGACCAAACATTGCCACGGATTTGCTGAAATGGGCAACATGGAAAAAGCCTAAAGGGATGCCATGAGAATTCACAGGCTGGCCAAAGCCAGGAGTCTTGGATATATCAGAGCTGGATATAACATCCCTCCCTTCTGTCAGGGGACAGGAGACACCCTTACCTCTTCTTTGGACTTTTTGGACCTGTCATCATCTTTCCGGGTCTTTTTTAACGCGTCTGTGCCGACCACCGAGAGGATGTTCCTTAACCTGGAAGGAGTCATGAAGCTGGATTTAGCCAGTGGATTCTCAGCTCAGCTGGCAGATACCACTGTGACATTCCCTCTGCCTTGGGGTCCTTACAACAGAAATCCCAGACTGGTTTGGGCTGGGAGGGATCTTAAAGCTCATCAGTGCCATGGCAGGGACACCATCTATTATTCCAGTGTGCTCCCAGCCCTGTCCAGCCTGGCCTTGGGCACTGCCAGGGATCCAGGGGCAGCCACAGCTGCTCTGGGCACCTGTGCCAGGGACTCCCACCCTCCCAGGGAACAATTCCCAATTCCCAATCTCCCATCCAGCCCTGCCCTCTGGCACTGGGAAGCCATTCCCTGTGTCCTGTCCCTCCATCCCCTGTCCCCAGTCCCTCTCCAGCTCTCCTGGAGCCCCTTGAGGCCCTGGAAGGGCTCTGGAGCCTCCCCTTCCCCAGGCTGAGCACCCCCAGCTCTGCCAGCTGCCCTGTGCACAGCAGGGCTGGCTGCAGAGGCAGGGGGGGCTCAGGGATTTGCAGACACAGCACCTCTCCCTGCGCTCCGCAGGACCCTCTCCGAAGAGCGTGATGGGCTCGCCCAGGGCCCGCAGGCAGGCCTTGACCTCGCAGTCGTCCGTGGACACGTTGATCTGCCGGGCGCGCTTGCGGCGCTCGAACTCCGCCAGCACCTCGGCCTGCCGCTCGCTCATGTGGTCCTCCAGGTCAAACACCTCCCCTGGCACACACACACACACACACGGCCTGAGCACACGCAGCCAGCACGGCCCGGGGCCAGCCGGGGCTGCCGGGACCTGTGCACATCACCCGCAGCATCCCCTGCCCCGGCAGGTAACACAGCAGGGACTGGCGTGTCCCCAGAGGGGGACACTGCACCCTCCCTCAGCCCCTGGGGAGACCCAAGCACGCAGCCTCCCACCCTGATGCTGTGAGGCGGTGCCCAGAGAGCCAGCAGAGGTGCCACATCTGCGGGCAGGGATGACAAGGGGTGTCTGCAGAGCCTCACCGCTGCTGATGTTGATGTTGCCGGCCTCCATGGCAGCCTTCATGGCCTCCTTGGCCAGCAGCCCCGTCTCGCCCTTGGCCAGGCGCTCCCGCTCCTTCTCCTCCAGGCTCCCGTAGAAGATGGGCGCCCGCTTGGCCGGGGCAGCCTCGGCCTCCTCGGTGGGCTTGGCCTTGGGGGGCTGCAGGGAGAGCCAGAGGGGCGGGGGTTGGCACAGGGGACAGCAAACAGCCCGGCTGTGCCAGGAGAGCGGGCACCGTGCAAACAGCCTCTGAGTGCCAGGCCGGCTGGGGCTGGAGGGCGCTGAAGCCACCCCATCCCACCCTGCCATTGCCCCAGGCTGCCCCAGCCCCGTCCAGCCGGGCCTGGGCACTGCCAGGGACGGAGCAGCCAAAGGACGTTGAGGTTTTTGCCCGAAGGCCAAAGCAGAAGAATAAAATGCCGCACTGAAATGCTGACATCAGGCAGCGTTGGGTCCCTGTTATTTATTATCTGCAGAGGTGTGTTTTGAAAAAGCTTTGGAACACGGAGCTGTTCGTCCTCCTGCACCGGCACCGGCAGGGGCGATGCGCGCCCCAGCCCAAAGCGAGCGGCTCCTCAGGGGAGGCGCCAGGACCGGCTGAGAACGCAGAGCACCGAGCCCTGGGCTCCTCTGAACGGCTCCGGTGTCACCGGAGCACCGCAAACCCCACACAGCAGCAGCAGCAGCCGCGGCCCCCGCCGCCTCTCCCGCCCCTGCGGCGCCGCGGCCGCGCGGGGAACGGGCCCGAGGCCGCCCCCACCTCCCGACACTCACCTCGGGGGGCCGGGCCGCACCGCGCGCCGCCGGTGCCCGCGCGGTGGCCATGGCGGGAGCGGGAACAAGCTCAGGAACGGGAAAGAGCCCGGGAGGGGAGCGGGAACCAGAGAAGGGAACGGGGAGAGACCCGCCACGCCCGGGCTCCGGCGCCTCACGGGCACTTCCGGCCCGCGCGGGGCACGCCGGGAGGTGTAGTCCCGCTGAGGGCGGGACGCGCGGGGCACGCCGGGAGGTGTAGTCCCGCTGAGGGCGGGCCGCGCGGGGCACGCCGGGAGGTGCAGTTCCGCTGAGGGCGGGACGCGCGGGGCACGCTGGGAGATGCAGTTCCCGCTGAGGGCGGGCCGCGCGGGGCACGCCGGGAGGTGTAGTCCCGCTGAGGGCGCGGGGCACGCCGGGAGGTGTAGTCCTGCTGAGGGCGGGCCGCGCGGGGCACGCCGGGAGGTGTAGTCCTGCTGAGGGCGGGCCGCGCGGGGCACGCCGGGAGCTGTGGCGGGCGGAGCGCTCGGTGCCGCCGCGCTCGGTGCCGCCGCGGGTGGCGGTGTCTCTGGTGGCGGTGTCTCTGGCGGCGATGCTCCGTCGGAAGCCGACGCGGCTGGAGCTGAAGCTGGACGACATCGAGGAGTTCGAGAGCGTGCGGAAGGAGCTGGAGGTGCGCGCGGGGCCGGGCGCGGGGGACTCGGCCCGCCCCCGGCCCTGACCGGCCGTTCGCCCGCAGAGCCGCAGGAAGCAGCGGGACGAGGCGGAGGCGGCGGCGGGCGGCGAGGAGGCGGCGGCGATCGGAGCGCTGGGCACGGAGCACAAGAGCCGCGAGCAGCTCATCAATGAGCGCATCGGGTACAAGCCGCAGCCCAAGGCCGGCGGCCGCGCCGCGCACTTCGGCACCTTCGAGTTCTGACCGGGCAGCCCCGGCCCCGCTGGGCCGAGCCGCCCCCCTCTGAGCTGTTGCGTTTTTGGATTTTAAGTTTGGTTAACATGGCCGTGATCGCCCCCTTGCCGAGTGTTTTGTTTTAAATAAACACGTATTTTTTTTAAAGAAAAGAATAACCATCCCACGAGGTGCTGTGAAGGGCTGCAGTGCCCAGGTGGGATGGGAACAGCTCGGGCACGCCGTTCACTGCTCCTGTGGGCAGGGGGATGAATCTCTGCCGGAGGATCCTCCGGGAAAGTGACGTGCTGATCCAAACCAGACAATGGAGTGTGGCCACCTCAGCCTCCAGCCCTACCCCTGGTGGCCCACTGAGGAGAGGGCCCTGGAGGTGTCTGATGAGTGTTTTGGGATAACAGTTGTGGGTGCCAGGCACTGCTGTGTCCATTCCCGAGGGAACCAGGAGAGAATCCCCCGTCTGTTCAATCAGCCGCTCCCAAATGCATCCCAGAGCTGCTTCTCCATCCGTGTCACAGCTGGCCCTCAGCAGGGAGTGGCTGCAGACCTGGACCATGGGCTGGGCACATGGATGGGGAGCGATATCCCAGATTTTCTGACTGAGCAGCTTTTCTTTTGCACGTCCCTGTTCCCCCTCCATCCAGCTCTGCTCGGTGTCACCGCAGCTGCCCTGGTTTGTCACCCTTGGAATGGAGTCACAGCTCTTTGCTGGTTGGATCAAAGGCCACCAAACAGTTCCTTATGGCTGGTGGTGTTCTGTGAAAAGGGCACATGGATTTCCTCTGGTCCCTGGATTAACCTCATCAGGTGCCTGGGCAGGGTGAGGTCAGATCTGATTTAGTGAGAGGAAGGTGAGGTTGGGGCAGAGCCCACTCAGGAGGAGTCTGACAGTGGAGGACACTTGACAGGAGTCACACAGTGGGGTGAGCTGAAGGAAGCAACTTCAAAAACCTGAGCAGCTCCTTGGTGCTCAGGAAACTGCTCCCTGCAGCCTGGGGAAGGAGCAGGGCAGGCTGCCAGAGCAGGAATGCAGGAGCTGGAGACTCTCCCTGCCTCTGCCCAGGGCTGTCCTGCCATCTTCAGCACAATGACCAGCTCTGTTTTTTCAGCATTCCTCCAAAGTGGACTTCAGTTAAATTCAGGCTTCCCATGTTGTAGGTACATCGAATTTCAGGTCAGGCTGGGAAAATGTACAGAACTTCAAACTTTTCCAACTGGGAAGAGCCCCAGAGCAGCCTAGAAAAGAGCTGCTTTTCCTGTCTAACACCACAAACCATGATCAGGGTGTTCTCTGCTGTGCTGGCATTCCCAAGAGGCCCCAGCTGTGAGAGGACAACACCTCAGGAGGTTGTTACAGCTCCCTAAAACTCCTCTCCAGGGCAGGCAGATCTGGGAGGCACCAATTCCTCTTTCCATCCCTCCCCACACCTGCAAAGTGTGACTGAGCTGGAACAAAGAGACTCCTCAGTGAATCCCATTCCAGCAGCTTCAGGGAGAGTTCCTGGGAGCTGGGGAGTCTCAGAGGATGCTGCTCCTCACCCCTCACAGCACCTGAACAGGAACACTGGGCCCTGTGCTCCCTCTGAGGGCTGCACTGAGACTCTTCCCAAAACACACCCCCACCGCAGTAAAATGCAATCTATTTTATTGGTTAATTATGTACAGGAGATTCTTGATATTCACAGTAACATCAGACAAGTTACCACCACAAAGAGCAAGAGTAAAAACAGAACTGACAGTCCACTGTAAACAAAACTAGAAATCCTGCTGGATTGGGTGGGACTGGCTCCAGACAAACTCAAAAGGCACTCAAAAAAAGCAACAAAAGCCCTCGGAGGGACAGGGCCTGGATGCTCTGAGCTCCCTCCTCAATGAGAATGTGGAGGCTCAGCGTGTGCAGAGCACACAGGGCACAGAGACAGGCACAGGATGTCACCCCGAGCAGGACAGCACAGCCCAGCATGCTGCATGTCTGTCCACACAGGCCCTTCCAGCCCTCCTCCCCCGTGCTACCCGGACAGCTCTAAATTCAGCAGAGGGGCTGGGGCTGCCCCGGAGCTGCGATCCCGCCCGCAGGGAGCTCAGGCTTTGCTCAGGCTTTGCTCAGGCTCTGCACGCTGCAGTCCGGCTGAGAGCACACCGTGCTGGCATCTGGTGGCAGCGGGAGGCCGGGACAGGGACGGTGGATGGCTCCTCTGGATTGTCACACTGAACTAGGAAAAGCCACGGCAGGAGGAGCAGCCTGGACACGCCTCATCCCCAGCTGTGCCCCAGGAGCTCGGGGCACAGGGGACACAGCCTCGCCCTGCTCTTCTCAGCTCCTTCCCCTCTCACCTTCCCTGGGAGCCCAGGGTGCCCACACCACCCTCGTGCAGGCTGTGGGAGCTGCTGGGGCACCTGAGACTCGAGCCCAGGTGAGCCCTGCCAGGGCAGTGTCCCCTCCCTGTGCACGCTGGAGAAGCTGTGTGCCCTCTCTGGGCAGCAGGGAAGCTCATTCTGGGAGAAAACAATTCCAGGGGCACAGGTGGTACAAGCAGAACGAGGCAGAAAAGCTTAACAAGAACCAGAGTGACACTGCATGAGCCACAGCCTGATCTCCAAGTCATCCCCAGAGAATTCAAGTCTGGCCACTTGGATACACAGAAAAGTGGCTAAAAGGTGACAGCAAGATCAGGCCAAAGAAAGACACAGCAAGAGGTATATGAGGTGACCAGTGTCACCACGCAGCCACTCCTCACTCCAGCCTGTGATTGTGATGGCAACAATTCCAGCCCCTTCCAGAAAAACCAATGGCAGCAGTGGCAGTGTCCCCCTGAGCTCCTTCAGGGGTCAAGCCCTGCAGTGCCAACCTCCCACATCAACCACCATCTCCAGTTCTCTCTGACAGACAGATTTCCTCTCAGTTCCAGTAGCAGTGGGAAGGGATTGTCCATTTTCTCTGCCCACACCAACATTCCTCCCAGCGCTCCAGGGGTGGGGAGGGTCAGTGTCCCCTCCCATGATTGTCTGCAGGGCACAGCAGAGTTTTACCCTTGTGACACGTGCAGAGAGGGCACCAGCAGCTTCTGTCACAGACAGAACTCCCTTCAAAGATCAGACTGGGGAAGGAAGCACTTTTCCTGTCTCTCAGCAGGACATGGCTAGAACTTTTCCACAAAAATAACTTTGCCTCTCATCCAGATACGAATTTGCTACAGAAAGCAGCTATATAGGAACCTAAGCCTGCGTTTAACTCAGCTCCTTTTATTCTCTAGTTGCACTGTCCAGAGAAAACAAGATGTCCAAGTAAACACCTGGCACCAGCCCAGGAGGTGCAATCCAAGCCCTGGTAGCAGCAGTTCTGGATTTCCTTACACAAGGGGAGGGTGGGCTCTGTGCAGGGACAGCAGCACCAGCACCGTGGAGCACCAGGTACACAGGGATGGCTTCACTCCCCAAGGCTCAGGGCCTAAAAATTCTCATTCCAAAGATCAGCTTTCCTCACACAGCTGCTGCCAGAAGTCACCAGCAGCATATTCAGGGAAAAAAAAAAAAAAAAACACCTTCCTGTGTGTGCCCAGAGGCTTTAGCCCACACAGGACTCCCTGTTCTCATGGCATGTCCCAGCCACCAGTCCCAGTCTGGAAGTGGTGCCTGTTCTCAGTGACTTTCCCAAATTCCCACTGTCTTCTCTGCCAGCCAGTTACAGGCACAAACTGGACAATCTGGGTAGAGGGAAGACTCCAGCTTTGCACAACCACCTTCAGCTCTGCACAACCTTTTTAACATCCAGGTGCTAAACCAGAGCTGCTCCCCAAGCCTGGCCTGGCACCAGACAGGCAGGAGGGTGGTTCTGCCCCCTCACAGCCTGTCCTGCCTGGGCACAGCTCACAGCACTGAGTTCTTCACTGACCCCACTGCACTGAGAACCTGCACCTCCAGCATGGGCACACTGTGATTATCAAGACAAAGATAATCTGGGTCAGGAATACTTTCTGATCAGCCCACGCTGCTCCAAATTTCACCTGAGAAGACACTGAGGGCTGCTGTAGTCCTGTATTTTCCTCCTCCTCTTCCCCAAATCTCTCCTTTACAGGAACATGGTTGTTTTTCCCCTTCATCTCCAGCCAGGAATACCCTCCAGCCATTTTAACTTTAGTGTCATGAAATCATTATTTAGCTCTTGCCTCATTTACAGAACCAGTCCTAGTAACCCAAAGCTTAGCTCTAGTTCCATCCAGGTGCAGCTCCACATGAAGTACCTGTGGATTCAATGGTTTATTGGGAATCTTTTTGCCCTGTAAATACAGAACTATTATCTGTTCCATAATTGGGAAGGGAAAGCAGCCTAACTCAAGTGCCCTCCCTGGAGGCTGAGTAAAGCTGCTGGATACGTCAGACAAACAACACTCATCATTCTCTGGTGGGCTTGGAGGGCAGGTTCATCCAATCCCTGAAGCATACAGCTCACGTCCTTGGGTCAAAGTCCTCCCTTGCCAAACACACCTGAGTATGTCTGATGTGCAGCACCAAATCTTCCTCAGAGGCTGAGTCCTACAGCAAAAGGTGTCATTGGCCCCAAAAGCCACAATGCCAGGGGAAACTCCTCCCGTGGCATTATGTACACATTGAAAAAAAATCAAAATTAAAACAGCCATTCACACATAATTGGCAACTGATCTTTTCCTACTGTTCATTAAACCCTCACTGATGAGCATTTACAATTTAAAAATAAAACGGTTTTGTTTTCTTTTTAAAATAATTTCTACAGTTCTGTCAGCCAACTAATCTCAATCACAGCATAATCTAAGAATAAAGCAAATCCTGGCCAAGAATGGCTGCCATGGACTCTCAGGAGTCAAGGGGAGCAGCGTGTCCCAGCTCCTCACATCCCTCACCCCTCCAGGAACCTGTAGTGAACTTCAGTTGATTTTCTTTATCATGATTCTCTTGGCAGCTTAGGAATGCTCCAGTCCTCAGGTGGCTGTGCTGGCAGGGAGCAGGGGGGTGGAGAGGCCTGTGGCACATCCCGTGTTAATGGCAGTGCTCTGTGATGTCCACCACCACTGCCTTTTTCCAGCTGAAGAAGAAGTACCCGGTGCCCGCTCCCGCAGCCACGGCGATGCACAGGTACCCGTTGTAGGTCATGAAGATCAGCATGAGGAAGTAGCTGACCACCACCTGGATGATGTGCAGCACAGTCTGAAGCAGGTGGGGCAAGCTCAGCATCTGCTGGCTGGGAACACAAACCCAAACAAGTCAGCAAATGGAACAGGTGGGAAATGCACATCCCCAAAGAGAAAGCTGCCAAGACAGCAAGGTGGGCGTGGGATGGCACAGAAGGTGACACCAGCCTGGGCAGGGACTCCCGTGTGCGCTGGCACCTGGAGCTGTTGTTTTGTCACAAAGCAAAACAAGCATGGAGCTTGCTGGGAGGACACAACTTTTTGCTGAGAAACAGACCTTGCCAAGCTTCTTTTACCTGCCCATTCAAAAGCTGACTGGCTCCTGTTCTGCACAGAGGCCTTAACTACCTGTCAACAAAAGGATCCTGAGTGTTTTCCCTCGGGGTCACTGCATGTAACATCCAAACTCCGTGCCTCAGAACTCCCCCAAATGTGTTCATTACAAAAACCCCAAGCCCATCTGGCTCCTTGCTGCTTTCCTCCTTTTTCCCCCATTCTCGAGGATGCCCTGGTGTCCCCCATCCTCCACTGCCATGCAGCATCCCAGTCCGGAGCCAGGACACGCCCCAGAGATCAAAACTGGCTGCACAAAGTTTCTTCTGTGCCAGTTCCACCTGCAGAGCTCTGCTTTAGAATGAAGTGCAGTGCTTACCCCACGGTTTTGTGTGTCTCCATCAGGATGGTGCCATTGGGGCCGGGCACTGGCATGGAGTTATAGCGGATGCTGACTTGGGATTTACGGAGCAGACACTCCCGGGCAATCTTAAGGCCTTCATAAAACATGGCCAGGAAGAAGACAGCCACAAAAGCACCAGCCATTTCTGACAAGAGAGGAAACATTATTGTCCCTGGGCAGGAGAATGTGTCAGCAGAGTCACTGTGTGGTTGAACCCCACTGTACTGCACAGGCCACGGCCAGACTCCATGTGCATGCACAGATAGGTGGGAAATGGGAATTTCATCCAGACTCTCACTGCAATTTCACCCATAAAGCAAAAGCAGCAATCACTTTTGCTAATAAAACCAAATTCTTGAGCTCTACTAATACTTCTATTTTTCTTTCACTCCACAGATACCATTTAAACCAGACTCAACACAGCACGTCCACAGATTTTTAGCACAAGTAACAAAGTAATTCCTGAAACATGGATCTTGAAACCGAACTGCAACCCTTTTGTTTGGACTGCACAAGACTGTGTTACTAACCTCCAGGAGAATTGATTGTAAGTCCAGAGAAGAGCAATGGCACATTCTTACAGCTGAAGTGGAAAGTCATGGCCTGCCCAAAACACAAAGAACACCAAGATGAGCCTGAAGAGCTCATCCCAAGGAGCTCAGGCAAGGTGTAGCAATGGGTTTGTATCAGAACAAGAACTCAGATCCTTTTGTTTGGTCACCACCTCAACACCAAGAAACTCTCCAGTAGATCTGGTGTAACACACACAGTGAGACAGGGATGAGATGCTCCAGGCTCCAGTTCCCAGCTCCTTCAGGCAGCCCTGGACAGGAGGCCCTGTCCTTCACAGCACTCCAGGAAAGTGCCTTCTCCTTGCCTTTGGAGCTCCTTTTCCCTCAGCATCAGCAGTCGTCAGGGATTGGGGATGTCTCCATGGAGCTCCTCCTTGGCTCCCCATGCCCTCAGGAGCTGGGCTACAGGGCACTTTCCCTTCCCCACTTGGACCTCGTTTGGATGATACAGGTAAGGGTTGCACAGGTGAGTCTTCTGGTCCCCTCCTGCACTGTGCCAGCAGTGTTGTCTCCCTATGGAATTCCCAATATCCTGTGGAAACAGAGGCTTAAACACAGCTACACAAGGGGGTAAAGCCAGTTCACAGCTGCCCCTGGGTGAAAATAAGGGCTCCTGAGCCTGCACAGTGAATGCTGTGGGAAGCTAAACAGCAAAGATCCCCAGGCCAGCTAGAGGTGATCGAAACTTCCCATCTAGGTAAATACAGCTTGGCATGTCTTGGGCACAGCTGCACACAGGATTTTCACATGGGAAGTCCTGACCAAGCAAGAGGAACTTCTCTTTGAACTTCCCTCATTGCTTAATTAAGATTATTTGCTGAAGCTCAGAATTATGATTCATTTCAGCATCTATAAGAATCAGCTCATTTTCCCCTGAGCAGAATTTACTGTAAAACACCTTTTATAGAGTACTTTCATCTCTTCAATGAATTGAACATATTTACATTTAAAACAAAACCCACATAAATCAAAGAACTTCAGCTGAACCTGAGCCTGTTACTTGGTACCAGTGAGGAATGGGAAAACACACATTAAATGTGCTCAGTCTGTTATCTAAGATGCTGCACCTATGTACCACCTTCCCTGAAAGATTTATTTGCAATATGAATTTAAAATCTGGTGCAATTACTCACAGTTTTCAGCTGCAGGGCAAGGCAGGGTCCTGTAACTATCCAGTGAACACTTGACATTTGTAAAGAAATGACATTTACATGGAAAGTAATGGCCCAGGGATGCCAAGACTGAGCTGAGATGATGGGAAGAGCTTCACAAAGAGAGCAGTGGCAGTGCTGGACAGAGAGCTCCATGTGGGCCATGCCCATCAAGGTTATTCTGGTGCTCTCTTCTCCTACTGTGGCACTGGTTACAATAGAAATAGAAGCAGAGATTCTTGGTTCTCTCTTCAGGCACAGAGCTGGCAAACAAACTCCAATGATGGTTTGCAAAATTCACTCCTGAGAACACTCTCATATGAAATAGAAATGTGCCCTCTCTCCCCTCCTCTTGAAATTTCATCGTAAACTGACACGTTTTAATAATCTGAAACTCACTCCTAAAGTATTTAGGAAAAGGAGTAAAAGCTGAAAAGTTCCTAGAACTGGCTACACACAAACACTGATCCTCCGGCCATCTCCATGGAAACTCTGGCCAGGAGCTCTGCAAAGCCTCAGGGATGCCAGAATGCACAAGCCTGAACCTGCAGGAATCAAAGTCAGCTGGAGCAGCAGGAATCAGGACCAATGCAGCCTTAATGCCAACATGGCAAAGAGCCCTGGCACTACTGTGCTCCACAGCCAAGTGTGCTCTGAGGGTTCAGGAGGGAAGGGCACAGAAGGAGCTCGGCACAACCCCTCACACTGCTGGGCAATTCTCTCAGGGCTGCATGCAGCTCTCCCTGCCAGCCTGGAGAACTCCATCCATCCATTTCCTGCAGGAAAACTCTTACTTTGCATTTCTGCCCTTAGCTGGCTGCAAAGCAGACACCAGGCTGGCTGCTGGAAAGGTTTTCTGAAGAAAAAAAATTTTTGCCAAAGGATCTCCACCTGTGAAATCCATTCCTGCTCTGTATCCCTCATGCCACTCCTTTACTCCAGAAGCCCCACAATGGGATCTGGGTTTAACCTGGATGGATTCCTGCCTTCCAAAGCTCAGCTTCACTTCCAGTTCTCCAGAGCACAGTCTTTAAGATGACAGGTTATTCTGAACCACAGACAAGGAAAAACTCTCTGGTTAATTCTGACTTCTCCACTTACCATCATCATCATGTCATGGCCGTGTCCCGAGGCTGTGGTGGAGGGGTGATGATGCTCAGGAGGATGCGAGGTCGGCAGCGTGGAGCTGTTCATGTGGTGAGACATCTTGAGGACAGAGAGATTCAGAAAGGCACATAGAAAATTGGGACCCTGAAAAACAAACAAACAATGAAGCCCTTTTCTAAACAGAATGTGGTTTCTCTACTGCTGCTGCATGAGGAAATATTCCAAGCCACTGAGAACTGTTGCCTCTGGAAAACTCCTGGAGCTTCCTCATGGTCCAGCTCTGGCTACAGAGAGCACAAAGCAGGACACTTTAGAGGAGGTGTGTCCCTCTGCAGCCTAATTTGATTGAGATGGCACCTGGGGCAAGTGCTCAGCATAGAGGAACAATTCTTATCTACGTGAGGGAAAAAACAGAGCCCCTTCCCAAGTGCAATCTTGCAAGAGGCAAAAATATCACAAGCACTACTTTAAATTGCATATACTAAAGGATCAGATTATAGGATTTCTCTTAATTGACATTTATGCATTTTATTGGGAACATGTTTAACACAGAAATTGTGTTAGTTGGTACAAGACCTACTGTCAGGCAAAGGTCTGCAACAGCTACAGGCAATCCAATTTCATTTCCATGAGCTTTACATTGCCACATCTCCCCTGTAATCACATTACCCAGTGAGAGAAACACTCAAGAGGCTGCCAGTCCCAAACCTTAATCTGACTACGACAAATCAGGGATGTCTGGATACACTAAAAAAAAACCAAACAAACAAAAAAACACAAAAAAACCCAAAAAAAACCTGGGCTGGCAATTGTTGGTGGGAAATGAAAATCATCAAGTTGAAACAGCAACAGGAGAGAAAATACCCTGGGAATGCCAGTCGGTCCTGAAAGCACAGCATCTGTCCTGCTGGACCCTGCCTGGAATCCTCTGTACCCTCCCACTCCAGTCCTGCACTGAAGTAAAACCAAGGGAAATAAAAAGCAAAGTTTGGACACTTTTATCAAATTAAAGTTTAAAAAGAAATGAGACAGACTTCCTTCCACGTAAATCATCAGGAGAATTTACAAATGTGGTTTTTTCAGTTTTTTAAGCCAAAAGGCAGCATGGTGTTTGAACAGGTAGGCATGGCTATATTTAGATTGGAGAGAGAAAATGAGACTCTAGAAGAGCTTTCTGAACTGGAAGTAGCAAATAGAGACCTGAAAGGCAGCTGGTGGTGCAGCTGGCTCAGGATGTGACAGTGACCCTGTGCAGGGGTCACTGGTGGTCCAGAACACCAGTGCAGTGCAGCCCTGTGGAGCATCCATGGCAGGGAATATCCAAGGGCTTCGGGGTTAAATTAAAGTGAGCAATGAAAGAAACTGAAGATTTGGGGAAGGTAAGGAAACTAAGTCAGCAGTGCTGGGGAGGAACTCAAGAGAAAGACAGAGGTAATACCCTGCAAACAGAGAAATTAAATATTGCAGGGAAGCTCCAAGAAGTGACACCAGGTACCTGCATCTAAGGTATGTTCTCCATCTCTGTGCAGAAGAAGTTTGTAGCCCATCTCTTATGTCATCAGACAACCTCACAATACTCCCCTGGAAGGTAACTTGGAATCATGGAATCCAATGGCATTGGCCAAAGCAGAATTAATTCCTTGTTTCCATATTAGTCCATATTTCTGCTAATATTTTTTAGCTCACTTTGTCCCTCATTTGTGCTTAAATATTGAGACCAGAAAATGTTCACAGAGAGATAAAAAGGAGAGGGAACAATGCAAGCAGGAGCTCAGCTGACACAGAAAAACTTCACCAAGAGATACATGCAGAATGCCCAGTGTGATTTCCATATGCCACAGCTTGGAAGATTATCCTGTTCAAGAACTGAAATGTGCAGGCTCTAGAACTGCAGTCCCAAAACACTTGGAAAGGAATCCTCTGCCAAAACACACAAACTTCAAATTGTCTTTTGCATCAGGGAAGGAAGAAGAAGCCCAAATGCTTCACCAGCAGGATCAAAGGTAAACATGCTGGGAGAGGAAAGACGTAACACAAGAACTTCCCCTCTCCAGCAGCCAAAATCTCCTGGAATCACGGAACCATGGAACATCCTCAGCTGGGACGGGCCCACCAGGATCACCCAGTGCAGCTCCTGTCCCTGCCCAGACCCCCCAAAATCCCACCCTGGGCATCCCTGGCAGCGCTGGCCAAAGGCTCCTGGAGCTCTGGCAGCCTCGGGGCTGTGCCCATTCCCTGGGGAGCCTGGGCAGTGCCAGCACCTCTGGGGAAGAACCTTTCCTGCTCTCCAGCCTAAATTCCCTTGACAGAGCTCCAGCCGTCCCCTGGCTCCTGTCCCTGTCACAGAGAGCAAAGTTTAGAGCTGTCCCCGTCTCCTCCCTCTTCTCTCAGTTGACTGATCCATTGCTTTTCCTTTGAATACAATATCCTCACCAGCGACTACTGTCCAATGATTATTTATTCCCTTTAGGATTTCACATTCCTGCCAAGCTCAGCAGGTTCCAAAATGCTCCTCAGAACCTGGCTGGTTACCATGTAAAACTGCCTTCATGGCTGGGCTGCGTCCAGCTTTTCACTCCTTTTCTTCTCTCTAATCATCATTTGTCTGCAGAAAGGGAAAAACAGTGGACATGTTTCAGGATATTTACTCTGTTTGAACAAAGAACATGTTCAGGTGTTCAGGAGTGGCTGCCTGTGGCTGGGCAGGCCTTGGTACAGGTGTCAAAGGGCAAGCTTGACCCTCACCTGGGTAGCTCCTTCCCACCCTGCTATCCCAGTGCTCTAACACCAAATCCAACCCCTTGCTGCAGTCACCCAACTGACTGAAGGACATTTTATGAGATCCTGAAAGGATGGGGTATTAAGTAGCTTAAGAGGAAACAACCTTATCTGAGCCACTTCAGCTGTGTTTTGTGTCACTGAAGGTAACAAACAGTGGGTAAATTTCTGTTTAAAAATAAATCTGTTCCAGTGGACAATCAGACTCTAATTTACAACTTGGGAGATCTCTAATTAAGTCTCAAGGTAAAAATCAACGTATAGGGCAGCAGCAGCAACAGGTTAATGGGTGTGTAATATTTCAAGCTGCAAGTCCCTGGTTGGTTTGCACAGCTCCTAAGAAACAAGCTGACAGATGTGGAGCTCTGTGTGTCACAAGAAGGTGGTGCTTTAACAAGGCTGACTCCATACCTGAAGGAAAAAAATCCACCCCCCACAAGTTTCTATTATTGTAAATTCTTTAAATAGGTTCAGCTTTGTACAAAGCCAGCCTTTCAGCAGGTATTTCTGCCTGAATGGGTGATCTCTGGCTGCTTCCTGCTCCATATGTTTGCACTGAGAGGGAGAGGCATTGGAGTGGATTCCCGAGCATGGCCCTGGAGAGGGACCTGCCACACCCCACGGCTGCATCAGGCTCAGGTAGTCTGAACACCTGAAAGGGACAGACCCCAGGGTGTACCTATCACAAGGGACACACACACAGAGTGATTTTTTTGTGCTCTGCAGTAACCTACTGCCTAAGAAAACAAACAGGGTGAAACAGGAGAGGAATGAGGAAATTCTCCTCCAGGGCTTCTTTCTTTCCCTCTCAGTGCTGTTACCCCAGGTGAGAGAAGTCACAGCCTCCATTTCACAACCCCTCAGATTTTTAAGGAGAACTGCAAGACTCAGAGCTACTCACAGGACTTCTCTTTCTTTAAGCAGGATCTCAGGCAAGTCCTGCTCTCACTGAGGTTTCTGTCCCAGCCCTGCACTGCCACCGTGGCAGCTCTGGACACCAGGCTGGGTCAGGACAGGTGCAGGCAGGAGCAGGATCTGACAGCAGCAAACTCTCAGCACCAGGACTCACTCTCATCCTCTACCAACACCAAACCAGAGCTGTCTCACCTCACACATACCAGGAGGCCACAGTTTGCAACCCCAGGGCACAGAGAAGGGGAGGACAGGCAGGAGGTGGCAGGGCACACACGAGTGCAGGTAAATGAGCTGGACCTGATGAGATGCCAAAGACAGAGCAGTCTTCTCAAGCAGGTCCCACCCAAAGATCACTGCCATTACACATAACCCCCTCCACAGCTCCCAGTCTATTGCTTCTGCTGTGTTCATCCAGAGTCCTGCAATTTCATACCAAATCCCAGTTTTTCCTGGCAAACACCCAAGGAAAATACACCTTTCAATGCAGAAACAGGACACACTATGGAAAGGATCTGCCAAGCTCCCAGGAAGTGCTTTACAATCAGCTCGGTGTCAAACAGATCTTCCTTAAAAGTCCCAAAGGGAATGAAGCCCCTTTCAAATCAGAAGTCCAACAGGATTAACACTGGAGCCCTAAATCAATGCCCATTACAGCATCAACTCTTCCCTTCTAAACAGTGCCTCATGTTTCCCAAACCAGTTCAGAAAACCCAAGGAATAAAATTCCACTGGCTCTGCCCAAAAGGACCAGAGCCTCCAAAACCCCCTCTCCAGTCTCCTTTAGAGCAGTTATTTGTCCCACAGAGAGGGTGCTGCTGCAGTGGCCAGCACAGGACTGGCTCCTGCTTGGAACCCTCCTGACTCCTCTCAGAAATGCTGGAGTGATTCGTACCCAAAGTCTTTCCACTAACACTTCTGATAGCAAAAACAGGTCAGGAGGTCCCTCTCTTCTCCTGAACAAGCAAGAAAGACTTTGTAATATTTACGAAGAATTAAAATCAAAGTTCCTGAGAGAAAGCCAAGGGAAAATTATTAAAAACAGCAAGCTGAAAAAGCAAAAACCTCTTGCTTACATTATCACATATGGCTCAGTGCTGTTTGACTCAAAGGAATGCTACAGGAAAAGCACAGAAGGAATGGAAAAGGCACCCAGGAGTTCCCGGTGCTCTACTTACAGCAGTGCTGCTGGCAGACCGAGCTCCACTGGCTCCCAGCTTGTGGTCCCAAGCCCAATCCCTTTTTTGTTTAGTAGTGCTCTCAATGGAGTGGGAGGGAAGCAGCAGCCTGCAGACACTGCAGCTCTGTTCACTGGCTCTAGCTGTGGGCTCCACTCAGCTCCTCATCAGGAGACCTAAGCACTGCTTTTAGTTTATTCAATTTCCTGGCAAACTTTTCTACTTTAACTGCTTCCTTTCCAAATGGGTGGACTTGTGATTCTTCCAGGATGCCAG